TCCTTGCATCAGTTCTGGGCTGGGCCCGACTAGTTGAGGAGAATCTTCAAGCAGGCCTCTAAATAAAGGTTGCCTGCCGCGCCCCCGCCGCGCCTAGTGTCTGACATTCTTTCGTCAGTATACGTTTCCTGGTGGCAGACTCGGAGAATCTAGGGGAAGCAACTACATCAGGTACCCCCTTATGAATTCCAGCCTCCGGGCGGCCAATGAAAAACCTGCATGCTGTCACGAGTTTATATTTGAAGAAGCCACTGAATTATGCGTCTGGCAATAGCACCTACAATCTGGTGTCCAGCGCACAGCTATTGGCTTGAAACGCCCGTGACAATGATCCAAAAAGGCTCACCATGACCAGTGGTTGGCACCCAGAACATCAAGTCTATAGAATGGACACAATTAGTGCCAGCAAGGCCATCGACGAAATGCAGCTGCGGAAGAATGCTATGAATCAGAGTACTGCGTCCAAAGAAGGGGTTATGAACAGTGCGGCGCCAAGGCAATATGGCGTCCTGATCCTTCGCCTGCTGATGATGGTGAGCCAGTCTGCTTGGGAACTTGCTTCACTCCTCCCAATCAAGTAAATATCAGCAGGCGTTGGTCTAATACAACTAGAATGTTGAAATGCAGGAAGATGACCAAGTCTGGTGCTTCTTATCAGACTTGGCTCTGTTCGTAGGTAAACGGCTTGATGGCCTGATCACACATGCATCAACACGTCTGAAATCTGCAGACTGAAGCAGGCTGCTATCCGGAAGACGATTGATAGCTGAGGACGGGACTCTGTCATCTTGTGCAGATTGTATTCGCATCCCTGTTGTCAGGACTAGCAGCGCTGGCATACGTTGTTACGAGCAGGGCGGCTGAGAGGTCGTTGACTGATCTGGCAGAAGACCTTGAGCAGGAGCTGCTGGATCGTTCAGCTGATAACTTCCTGGGTTTGTTCAATGAGGGGCAGGCATGCTTGCAAGCTCTTGCAGGAAACATTGCAGTCCTCAACAACAACGTGAAAATGGCAAACGTTTCACAGGGTACCCGCGCAATGATGGTGAGTCTCCATCATGGAGTCACCTAGCTAAGACGAGCCTTGTTGGTAGCTAACCCTCGAAGTGATGCATAATTCCTTCGCACAGAGAATCTTGAGGACTGCCGGTGATCGGTGAGGGTGCTGCCTCCTTCTGACCCGGAACGAGTCCAGGTTTGGACGCAATACTCTGCAAAATCGAAGGGTCCTTCCAATGCAAAACTGCTTCGATTTGTTCAAGATTGCTGATAGTCCATTCCACCTGCCTTTCGTATTGCAGGTATACCAGTCGACGCTGAGCACCATAATGAGCTGCAAGGTTGCCGACGTTGTTGGGTTCGTACAACAAAATGGATTGTAAGCTCTTCTCTTGGCTTTGCCTCTACAAGCAATTCCCCAGCTTTTCAGCAACGCTCAGGTTCTCCGTTTGAAATCGTACTGCTCTGGAGAAGGCTCCAAGGACCAGATTGCGCGTTATCTATATTGAGAGCCCGAAGTTGCAGCGAGCATTGATTCAGCAAGACTGGTACGTCCTGCTTGACCCTGACGGAAGAGGTAGGCATTGCAATCCATGCTATATTAGAGAGTCTGATGCTGGTGACTTTCATTTCTCAATCTCTGCCTTTGCTTTGGTCATGTAGGCACAGTTTTCTGAGCCGTCCCACCAACTCTTCAGACTCCTTGGCAAACTCAACGTTCCTTCTAACTTTCAACAACCAGACTGTACCCGAGGGTCAAGAGGTGCCACAGTATTCCACGGTGAGTTTGCGCACGATGCCCTATGCCCTGATCTCATGGCTTTTACGGCATCATCATTGCAAGCACTTCAAGACGGTCGAACGCTGAAGAGTGATACGGGAGTGATACCCTCTGAACGCTTTTCAATGAAGAGTTCACGTTCGATTGGAAGTGTTTTGCCTGCATCTTTTTCATTCCCTCGAATTGCACCATGCGACGTCTTTACCAAATGCGACGAAGGAAAGGCCTTTTATTAAGGTGACTTTGAACCTGATCCTTGACAATGACTTTCCCTCAGGTTGTGGATGCAACCACTGCTTACCCCCTGTATGGAATGGAAAGCGTAGTCGCTCTAGCTCCCCTAGACTTCCGGACTCGAGGCTGGTATATGCAAGCTATGACATCCTCTAGAGGGTTGGGGATGCAAATCCTCGTCGGTACTCTCGGGAAGCCGATTCTCGTCATGAGCCGGGTAGTGGTGCAAGATACAGGCGAAGCAATTGGGGTTGTTGCCATCACGCAATATTTGACCAGCATCGATCAGCGCGTGCGCCAGTTCAATCTTAGGGGTGGGGTGCTGTTCTTCACAAACGGGACGTTTCTGGTTAGCGATTCCGTGGCAGACAACGACAGGCCTAGCACGGCCTCTCGTCACCTCCTGCGGCCAAATGAGTCGACGAGTGTCGTGGTCCAGCAGGCCGCTGAGATTGATAGGTCTGGCAGGCTTGGTAACAGCACAGCCGTAGTGACTATAATGGGAGCTCCCTACTTTCTGAAAAAGCAAGCGGTAAAGCTACAAGACGTCACCATCTGGGAGTATCTAGCTGTCCCGAAGAAAGCAGTCATGGGACATATCGACTCCAGCTCCCAATATGTGAAGGTCGTAATCATCTCCAGTACAGTAGCGGTGGTGGCAGTCGGGGGCCTCTGCGTTTTTCTCTTCACGAATCCGATCAACAAGGAAATGCAGCTCAAAGCACAGCTTATCGCGAATCTAGCAGCTAAAAGGCGGGCTGAGATGCGAGACGAGTTTAAAACCAGGTTCCTAGCCAGTATGAGGTGAGAGTCGCTTCCTGCGTCACGTGATCAAAGCTCATTTTTGTTTAGGCAGGACAGAGGGTCAGTCTCGAAGAGACTTTGTTCTGATAGTTAACCGTTCCGCATCGACTTAACCGTGATTTTGAAGCTGTTTGACAAGTTGCTGCATTAATCGATTTTCAAGATCTCTCTTTGGTCAGCTGATCCTGATTCGTTTTAGAGGAATTCCGACAAATCATTCGCCACGGTTTCTCGCAAACCTCGATTGCGCTTAACATTCCGCTGACTTTGTGCCTGCAGTCACGATCTGAGGAACCCGTCCGCAGCAGTGTTGGGTTTGCATGACGCCCTTCTGGAAACGGGTCTCGACGAAGAACAAGTCAAGCAAGTGAACCAGGCCAAGGGCTGTGTTGAGCACCAATTGAACCTCCTAAACGAATTATTGGATCTCAGCAAGGTGAGCCTTCAAGCGCTTGACTCGAGGTACGTGAAAGCCCGAGCCTTTTGGCTTGCCATACTCCCGTCTAAAGCTTGACAGCAGCAATTGATCAGAGTTGGGTCAGGAATACGACGACCGTCGCATCATATGAAGCACTCCCTGCTATGACCTTCTTCAGCATAACAAAGAGGTAAACCGCTTTTCGGCTGAACCTTTCCTTTCAAGTGCAGATAGAAGCTGGCAAGCTGGTGCTGGACGAGGCTCCCTTTGCTCTCATTGAAAATATAGAGTCGTTGGCGGATGCATTCAGCACTCAGTGTGCCAAGAAGGGCTTGGAATTGTGCCTCGACATTCCAGGTAAGCGACTAGTTGTAGCTACTGTACTGCAATACCAAGAAGTACTTTGTTCTGCTTTTGTGTTCCGTCCCGCCTGCGTCACCCGTTCGCCAATCTGCGCTATGCAGCATACATGCTGCCCCGCTCGTGGTCATTGGAGAACGAGAATACTCCAGGTGGACAAGATTGGCAATGATCCAACCTCCGATGGTAGTCGAAGCGGAATGAGGATTCATCTACGTCTTCCTGGTTGCAGCCGGTGTGCCTCATACCGTGTTTGGCGACGCCACGCGTACCCGGCAGATCTTTTCAAATCTTCTGAGCAATAGTATCAAGTTCACCAAGGTGAGCGATCGAGTCTGACAAGTCGCCAGCGTTTGCAGATCCTTTATCCCCTTCGAGCACTTACCCGGGTGAAAAGGGCTGAACCCGTCCGGCAATCCGTGTCGCTGCTTGTTTGCTCAAGCTTCTAAAGGACTCACCGGAGATATTCGTCCGCTTTTAGCTTGTATGCACCAGGCATGCTTCCGTTTCCAGTTAGGAGCTAAAACTTCGCTATGGACCTTCCTGGCAGGCCGGCTACGTTCTGATCCGTTGCACTCTGAGGACCAGCGCGGCCGCGGCCGCCGATCCTCCGGGCGTCTCTTCTGGCGCACTCAGGCTCCAGTTCGAAGTCGAACACACCGGCTGCGGCGTTCCCCGGGAAAAGCGCGAGCTGGTGTTTCTAGACTACTCACAAGCGGACGGCGGTGCAACCACGCAGGCATACGGCGGCACGGGGCTGGGCCTGGGGATTGTGAAGAAGCTGGTGCAAAGCATGGGGGGCCAGATCGCGATCGTCGACAAGGACTCCCCGGGCTGCTTCATCCGCTTCGATCTGACGTTCCAGACGAAGCCACGTGGCACGTCCGTGCTAAGGTCGCAGAGTCTCCGGGCCCCCTCGGCGCTCTTACGCAGCCCGAGCCGCGTCGCGCGGTTTGGCGCGGTCAACATCGTCCTGGCGAAGACGCACTTCCTGACCCGGTCGGTCACGGCGCACACTCTGCGCGAGCTCGGGGCGATGGTCGTCGAGGCGTCGTCTTGGGAAGAGGCCCTGGTGGCGATCCAAACGCTCGCGCGCGACAGCGATCTCAGGTCGACCCCGGTGCAAGCCCCCGGGGCAAATCTGTCCCCAGAGGACGCCGTTCTCAGGCGACCGAGCGTGCTCAGAAGCTCCCAGGAGTCGGTCCACTCGGACGAAGAGCCGCTGGATCTGGGGCGCCCGGTATTGTTCAAGCCGCGGCTGTCTAGTAGAGACGTCGAGGTTGACCCGGCCACGCCCGGGGCACCGCGCGCGGAGCACTTTGAGTTTGACTGTGCGATGCTCGAGCTGTCGATCGTGCCCGGAGCAGAGGACCCCGAGCGCCTGGATCAGGAGCTGCGTCGGCTGAATGCGGTTTTGGAGACTGACGGAGGTGAGGAGGTTTTTGGAACACAAAGCGTCGGGCTTAGCTGCACACATCGCGTCATGCTTATCTGTATAGCTTGACGTCACTGGCTTTGAGCTTTTGTTTGCACTTCGAGCCTCTGTTCTGTATTCGCAAGGGGGAACTGTGGCTTCACAGACTTTCCTTTCTGCTCCTTACTAATTTCCGAATGGCGGAGGTGCGGTTTTGATGGACGCTTCTACCTGAAGAAGGGCTAGGCGTACAAATATTGCTGAAAGCTTAATCCTGTCATGTTCGTCAAATGCCATCTTCTGCAAATCTACGACTCTCGTGCAGAATCTTGATCCAATATTCACTCAGTGACAATTGTCTTTCGTTGGGTAGAAGCACCTCCCTGCCACGACCTCGCTGCGGAAATTTTGGGTAATCTTGAAGAAATAAGTTGTCTCAGCATGTGTACGAATCCAGCAATTTCCAAGAAAAAGTTGACTCCGGTCCTCGGAAAAACCTTCTGAAAGGAAGGAGATGCTGCTTCTGCCCGCGGTGTCAGTTCCGCCTTTGCCCCCGCCCAAGACGTCAGAATTCAATTGCTTGCTATGTTCTGCAGGATCGAGCGGCGCCATCACCATCTTCTGGATTGTGCGGAGCAATACCCCTGCGGCCACTCGGGGCATGCTCAAGGCCGTGCCCTCGGCGCACGTGGTCTACAAGCCGCTGTACCGGTCCAAGCTAGAGCACCTACTCTACTCGGTAGCAGCGTCCCGGGCCGATCCCCAAGAGCCGTTCACCCCAATCCCCGGCCCGCACGTGACCCTCGAAAACCGAGGAGACGCAAGCTCTTTCTCCGACTCTGAAAACGGCGACGCGCCGTCGCCAGGTGTCGGAAACAGCCACGTGGCGCCTTCTGATTCGCATCAGGGCTCCACCGAGCCGAGCCGAGCCTTCGACGGCCTGTCTGCGCTCCTGGTGGAGGACAACGCGGTGCTCGCGCAGCTCGCGCGGAGAAGCTTGGAGAAGCTGGGCGCGCGTGTAGAAACGGCAGGCGACGGGGAGGAAGCCCTGGCGGTCCTTTTCGATGCAGATGGAGCCCGCCGAAAGAAGTTTGACTTCATCCTCATGGACTGCCAGGTAAGCCAGTCCTATCCCATTCGTCAGTTTTGGAGTTCATCGTTAATAATACTTGAAATGTCGATTAAGTGCTGCCGGGAGTTTTTGATTCTGCTTTATTTCCATTGTACGGATGTAACGTACGGCTGCCTGCATTCTGATGCGAAGTTGCGAGTTCTGCGGAGCAGAATTCGACAATCTGGTCGCGCTAACGCTTTTGCAAAGTAGACTGAAGAATGTTGCGTTCGTGACCGCAGAGGTTGAATTGCGCCCCCAAGCTGGTTTTGTGTTTGATCCTGTTCTGGGTCCGTGTCCACGATCTGCGAGCAGCGTGCGCGTGCATCAACCTCGCAATCTGTGCAATCCAATCCGCTTTTAGAACCAGGAAAGTGTCTGGCAAGCCTCATGGGTGTAAAACAATTTAGGATCTGAAGAGGACGCGGTTCCGAGCTCGCTAATCTGTAAACAAGATGCAGGGTTTCAAGATTTTGCTGATTTAATCTACATCTACGTACGATGAAACAAGAATACCGAGACAGGATTTCTTTGCTGAATGCAGATGCCGATCATGGACGGGTACGCAGCGACCATTCAAATCCGGCGAATCGAATCGGCCCAACTTGGCCATACTCCCGTTATCGCTCTTACTGCGAACTCGGGCAAGGACGATCTGGACCGGTGCATCGTCTCCGGCATGGATGCTGTCTTGACCAAACCGGTAAAGAAGTTGGAGCTGGTAGAAACCGTGTTGCGGTTCCGAAAGTAGAGCATATTGTGTTGACAAATAAAGACGGGCAACTCCAAAGGAAGGCTTAACCCGCAAATCTTAGTCATGTACAAAATGGGGTGCCGAACGTACAAAATGGGGTGCCGAACAGCCATTCACCTCCAAATGTGCAGGAATCAGCCAGAACTCTGTGCTAGGAGCAAGCAGAGTGTACATGCACGGCCAGGATCACGCAATAGTTTAGGCTCGCAAATGTTCCCATCGAAGTCAGATTGAAACGCCTCTGGTTGCGCCAAGATAGAATTCAGGTTCCGTTGATTGCGCGGGCAAAAAGAAGTCTCCTCCTGTGGTCGATGCTGCCGCAGAACGCCTGCCCATGTAAAAGTAAGCCGCTTTAAGAAATTCAATTCTGTGTATACCTCCCAAACGATTTGCCCGCCGGTCGCATGTGCGATCAAAGATCAGCATATTTGTCCACGTTCTCACTATTAACGAACTATGGCAAGCTACAGGGAACGGGAACGCATGCAGCTGGCGCGATAGCGCATATTCAAGCTTCTGACTATAGCCGTTTGATGCAACACTGTCGCTAATGATCAGCTCAGGCTCCAATTAATGTCAGCCTTGTGGTTAAGAACCAACACATTCCTAGTTCTATTCAATGCACTGCATACTGGGCAAATAAAAAGTTATATTTGCGCATAGAGCTGGAAACCAAGTGTTCTGATTGTAACGGGCTGAACACTAGACCTTGTCTGCGTCACAAGAGCGGCAACACAAGAGAACTTACTGCATGAATCGATTCACGATGTACCAGCGGGTCTGTCATCGACATGAACGGTGTGCAGCCTGTTCTATGCTTCGTCATGGATAATTAGATAGAAGTGAGGTTTTAACGGGCATTTGCATGGCTGCGTCCGAGGTGTACAACGGGCACTACGATCTCGTGAAACTGAGAAGTAATCTGCTTTTATTCCAGTTTCAGCATCTATGCACGAATCAAATCTTTGCACTCAATGAAACACACGCAAACGTCGGCGCTGATCATCAACATTTAAGCCTTAAACCAGTTTATCCGCGAAGGTGATACTCACAGAACAGCGAAGTGTGACAAGATAGGCCTCGCAACAAAAGCGGACCCTGAAAATACGATCCAACCCATAGATTGTCTGTCTACAAGCACGCGCAGAACATGGTGCTTGTCCAACAAGGTCATCTATGAGCCTGAGCTTGAATGTGTAACTTTTGTCAAGGATGAAGGAGAAGCTGCTCACGACCAAACGTGGAAGAAAGCCGGCTTCTGTGCTTCGTTAGTGGATACAGTACAATATTTCTCGTTCAATCTAACCATCACTGGTCATCGAGGTCGCGCGCGGCCGGCCGCGCTTGCAAGGGTTTAAGGGGGAAGCGACCCGCATGCGCAGGCCGAGGGGCCGGGCGGTCCAAACCACTCCAGCCCTACCCCATCCGCAGAACACAGCGTAGCTCGGTTGACTTGACGTATTCATACGCACCTAGACCTTGCATTTCGACAGGGTATGCAAAACGCAACGATCGAAAGTTGGGAGGTAGATCCTGGGTAATCGCGCGAGCTGAGTGAAGCAATGGGAGCGTCCTCTGAAGAGTCCGCCCTCGGCGAGATTGGTGACTCATGCTGATCATATGCTAGGATCTGAGTTCGGACTTCGACCTTTACGTACAAAGTTGACGGGTACATTACTCGGCGCGGCCAGCCGCTCCACCCAATACATCTGCGGGGCCCACATGCATTCTGCCTCAAGATGACTTCTCTACAAGCGCCCGCGTGCACTATGAAAGGCATGGTGCTATATCGCGCGGGGCCAATTTATGATGGTTGCTTTCAGTACGGTCAGATCCGCGCACTGAGAGCAACCGCGGCAGAGTCATCAGAACGCGCCGACGGTAAGCTCGAAGTTGTGAATGCAGTAACCCACAAGCAGCTGGGCCCCTTACCCAGATCACAAGCTACCTATGGTGGGTCTCGACGGTATCGACCGCGCGACGGTCGGGTTTCAAATTTGTATGACCGGTGTCACGCGTCGCGACACATTTTGTACGCAGTACTAACGATCGTACTCGGCCGTACTAGAGAATCGGGTCCGAATTCATGAATCGAGCTTTTCCTGACACGTCGATCAAACGGGCAATTACGTACTACCCGGAGGTACGGTACCGTCGCGCGAGACTCGAGTCTGCGCGGCCGACAAATTTAAATTTCATGGTCTTGGTCGGAACTTCCGACTTGTACCGTGCACGAGTACCGCGGTACCCAGACTGAAAGAAGAGTGCAGAGATTTGATATAGGAGTGTAAGAGAAGGCGCTCTTCAAAATCCAACAATGGCGGCCAACTTTGCGCCTCCTATGCTGCTATTTGAGATTTGTCCTGAACAAAACATGATGTTGGAGCTTCAAAGGACAGCTAATGACGGTCCCCCAACATTTTTTTTAGCTTGTCAAAGGTTTCTGCATGTTGCATAAGCCGCATCTTAGTGTGGCATTTTCATGCTCCCGTCAAAGTGTAAAATAATACACTTGTTTACAACTTCATGACACTCACTTACGGCCGAGCAAAAATTCCTGAGTACTCGAACCGTACANGTTTCGGAAGTCCGACTCAGCGTAACGTGAACCGCCGGTATCACTGACAGAATTTGATACCGGGTCCCACAATTTCGTTGCGGTTCGAGTCGGAGTCGACTCGGCCGGAACCCACCGTAGGTAGCTTGTGATTACGAATGGACGGAGCATTTAACGCTGTACCAAATACTGCATGCAATATATAATCAAACTAAAAAATATGGTCCGTTGGGTACCGACAATTGCAGATCAATCATTTCCGCCGCCGCCTGGGGTCTAGGACATGATCGCAGTCCACGTTGCACATGCTTTCTCGTGGCAGTTTCGGAGTGCCTTGGCCGGGCCAACACATATGGGTCATTGGAATCGGTTATGCTAGATAATTAACCTGGCTTTCCATCGCGTGCTTTGACAAGAACTCGTCCTACCGTACATCCAATGCGTAGTCACTGTGTGCGCAACTCGTCCCTTACGGCCCCCGAGGCCCTATCAACTTTTTGGCTGGATCAGCCGTTTGCGCTAGCATGCCCTTTGGGCGTACCCCTGATGGGGCGTCCTGCTTCGATCCACCGTTCTATTCGCGCGTTGAACTCCGCGTCTGGCCGGCCGAAGGCGTGGTTCAGGCTCCACCACGTGATGCCCTCTTCTTGGAGGCGAGCGTAGCGCGGCCGTAACTGCATGGGACGCAAATACGGGTTATGTGACGCATAAGAAGTACACTTTCGGTGGGGTTGACGAAGGTTAAAGACTGACCAAGATAATCGTAATAAGAGCTCCGGCCAGCAGATGCATCTTCTTAGAAGAAGATTCAAGACCTCTAAACACCCGTTCTAAGACCTGCCAACAGAAGGCCGCTTCTCCTGTGCCTCCTCGCAAGTCGTCTGCATGATCTTGCTTTCACTAAGACAAGCTCCAACGACTCAACTTTCCCACAACGCAACTTTCTGATGGAGCAGTCAAGCATACAACCAGACGACTTGCGGAGTACAAGAAGAGCGGCACAAAGCGGCGACAAGACGACGGACAAGTCCATCATACCGCCAATCCAAGAATCCCATGCCTCCTGCGCTACACAAGATCGCTGACCAGAAGGGCAGGGGGCCGAAAGGGAAAACCTTGTACCAAGAGCAGAAAAGACAAGCGACAAAGCAAAGTACCGTACCCCCATGACGCTTGGGCACATTTTTGTCCAATAGATTATTTTTCATCCACTTTGCGAATTGGGCACATGATTTTGACCATTTTCCCAAATGTTTGGAAGAATGGGCAAAGTCCAAATCTCGTCACTTGTGCTGGTCTACAGCAGGAAAAGTGGCAAAAAGGGCTTGTAAAAGGGGGCAGATGATTTCCTGAATTTTGCCAAAACTGGGCAATTTTGACCAAGAAGTTTGAGATTTAGGGCAGATCCAAAATAAGTATTCTGCCCAAGCGTCACGGGGGTACGGTATCCAATCTGCGGACCAGGGCAGTCGACGGCCTACTGACCCGGTTCGGCAGGCTAAGAGAGAAAGGAGGGGTAGCCGAATGGTAAAGGACTGAGACTTTCAACCAACGTGCACCAAGAACAGAAACCAAGCGACAGGGCAAAGAAACCAAGCAAACCCACGATAACTTTAAGGGTTACTTACCCGGTTTGGCAAACTAAGAGAGATAAATGACGGGTAGCCGACGAGCTCGTCCAAGGAGCGGCCCATGTCTTCCGTCAGGAAACGGATCTTGGCCTCAAGCGAGTTGGCGCTGCTGTGCAGAATGCGGGGGAAGCGCTCCACCGTCGTCACGACCTGCTGTGAAGTCATCCCAAGACCCAACATCGTGGAAACCTGCGGGAGATATTCTGGAGTTTAGACTTTCGGTTCTGAGGTCAAGGAAAGGGAATTAGAGATCTGCCAATCTGATTGCCGTTGCTGTGCAGGGTGCGAAGGAAACGCTCCGGTGTCACAATCTGCGTCACAATGGGGGTCATGCTCAATCTCATCAGCGTACAATCCGCAACAGCGTCTGGGGAATTAGAGGCTACTATCGGGATAACGGGTTCGGATTTCGAAAAGGATTCAGAAATTCAGGACTTTGCATCCGCTACAAGTCCTCGACGTTTTTCCGAACAAGAAACGAAGCAGATGATTGGGCCGTTGCTTTCACTATGGCGCTCACCTGCCAGGTTCCATAGACTATAACCTGCTTCAATATTCGTGTAAGAGAGAGACAGATCACTGGTTAAGTGCTTCGGTAGGTGGACAGATTTGCTGCAAAGTGTGGTCAGACGTCCCTGTTCAAGAAAGTCTTGACTTGTTATAGTATCCGATCGCTGCCTATGTCCAGCTTCCTTTACCCCAGAGCCCAACCAGATGATCTCGATGCAACATTTCAGTGCACACCCGAACTGACTCCTGTAAATGGAAAACGAGTCACCCGGCTGCCTCTTTGTATCCTTACGAAATCGCACAAAAGTACACAGATCTAACTGGATGCAGATTGTGAAGACAGGGCACAAACCCCCCACCCTTCCTTTCTCTGTATGCACGACAGCGTCATGTGATTCACCTCCTCCGTATATTGTCAGGCTGCATGAAAATTCCCTTGAGTTCGACTCAAGCAGAGCAATCTGAACGAACAGCATAAGTGTCCGACGAAGCCCTTCTCTACCTTCCTATGTACGCAAGAAGCGTCATGTAATCATCTCCTCCGAAACAAAGGTGCACACCAGAAACGACTCCTCAAAAGGGAGAGCAACTCACCTAGCCGCCTCCGTATAACAACTAAAGGACATGCAGGAGTTCAATGGAACCAACTTAAAGCAACGGGTTTCGAAAACAGCACAAGCGCCTGACGAAACCCCACCCTACCTTTCTCTGTATGCACGACAGCGTCATATGATTCATCTCCTCCGCCACCCGGGCCGCATGCCCCGGTTCCATTCCGAGCCCCTCCAAGTACTCTCGCTTCTCCTCGGGGGATGACCCCGGCTTTCTGACCCTCTTCTTCGGTGCGCCTTTCTCGGCGATAAGCTTTCGGATCTCCGCTTCGAACGCGCTATGCGGCCGGGCAAACGCTTTGGTGAGACTCCAAGTTAGCCCCAGGTCTTGGAGGATCAGCCAGCGGGGTCTTAACTGCGGAGAGGGCGATGTGCGGTCTAGCTGAGAAAGAGAAGCTGTCTGCGTGTGTGCCTGGGGGGTTTTGTTTCCTGCCTTTTCGCTATCTTCCTACTCCTTCATTCGACAGGTTGACGTTCAGAGCGAGAAGGCGCCTTCACCGAACTTCTGAGGAGCTTTATCTAAACGAGTGCGCGTATAGAAAAAGAGACTTCTTCGTCACACCTCATCCTCTGCCTCAGGCTGACGCTGCTAGAAACTCGTTTCCCATCAGCAGGATTCACTAAAGCGACCGGCAGATTTTAAGGCGTTCGTTATGAGGCTTACCCTCTTATTCAGGCTGAGGCTGATGAACGCCGGATAGCTGACGAGCTCGTCGAGACTGCGGCGCATCTCCTGTGTTAGGAAGCGGAGTTTGGCGTCCAGACTGTCGCAGCTGGTCTGGAAAGTGGCGGGAAACCGTGCGAGGATGGTCACGACTTGCGTTTCGGTGAGGCCAAACTCAAGCAACAACCCGACCTGCGTTCCAAATGGAAAGAGCAGTCAGTGCGCGGTTAACTCGTGTAGAACTTAACCGACGGGTCACGTCGCAGCGTGTGTACTCGGCTCCGATTGTGCTCACACGTGGAACAAGCCAACCTGCAGAATGAGGCAGGAGCGACCGTGCTCGAGGAGATGGGTAAGATTGTATCCAGGCGAGAAAGCAGCTGGACACGGCCTCGATCTGAGGTAGGCGAAAGTGCAACCTTACGAACACCCTGCAGCCCGAGATGAAGCAATCATTGATCTTTCTTCGCAAAAGTGGGCAGCGTCAGTCTGAGCGAAGGCAAATCCTTTCAAAAGCTGGACTTGTTGACTCGCATGATCGGAAAAGGCGGAAAAACGCAAGCAAACAGATAATGTTTCTTTCTTGGACCCGTCGTAGCTCAGCGGGAGTTTACGCCTATGAAGGGGGATTGCCGCAATCGGTCGGTTTGCATCCAGAACTCCCCAAAAAACGCCTAATAATGTGGACAACTACCAGAATCTTTTCAGGGCAAACCTGTTCTTATGGTCTCGGAAGCAACTCGTATCTCGTGGCGCTTCACAGCGCTCCCAAACCCCACCACGTGACCTCTCCATGGAGATTAGGAATAAAAGTCTCAGAACTCTTGACACCGCCCCACCTTTTCCTCCATCGCCCCCAGCGACAGCCCCGGGTTCTCCGCCAGCACGTTCGCGATGTCGTGTGACGTCATCCCCAGGTCCCGAAAGTACTCGATCTTCGCTTCCGCGTTCCACGCGCTCCCGCGAACTAGAACGGCGGGATGGCGCATGACCGCCTTCCGGAGCTCCTTCTCGGAGAAGCCCAGCTCGCGCCACCTGTCGCACATCGCGCGCTGCTCGGCGGCGGGCGCGAGGAGGACACGTGGCTCCCGGAGGACGACTTTGCGCATCGCACGAGGACTGCCGACGACTTCCTGGCAATGAGGGGTGATAAAGCCTGAGTCCAAAGAGTGCGAGGCGGAGCGGGAAGGACTTTTTGCCAAGAAACGAATTGGAGAAAGCAGAAAGTGAGTACAACGGCGATGCCTATAGGGCGAACTGTGAGAGGCTCCCTAATCTGGCACGAAAGATTTGATGTTATCTTTGCATTTGACTAGGATCGCGGTTGACATTCAATGGTCCCGGATTGATCGAGCTCTGTAAAGCAAAGGTCGGCATCGGGGAAGAAAGCCAGCGCGAAAACGAGTGCGGAAGTCGGACTCTAACCCTAACCCTCCGGTCGCCAGGTCCATTCAAGGTCCAACCGAGGTACAGACTAAGTCCTCACACTCTGAGGTCCGAACGGCAGGTTGCATCAATGAAACCAACCCGACACTTTGCAGACGCTGCAGCTTCGCCGTTTGAAAAGCATCCCATGAAACGGAGGAGTCAGGATAGAATTGTCAAAAATTGGTCGAGATCTGAGCGGCTGTTTACCTCGAGGAACTCTGCCGCTGGCCGCAGCGAGGCGTCGATGCTGGTGCGCCAGTCGAAGAGCACCGGCTTGCGCACGACTAAGTCCACCACCTCCGCGTCCGTCAGGCCCAGCTCCAGCAGAAACTGCACAGGAAGTCCGCATGTTGCAATTGAAAAAAAGTGTCCTTTGTCCTCAAACGTCTAAGGGCCCAGCTCCAGCAGAAACCGCAGGGTATTTTGCGCTTCAGAGTTCCGAGGTTTGATCCAACAGAAAGTACAAAGGACTTACTGGCCTCTGGGGTTTGATATTCGCCTTGACCCCGATCGCGACCCTTTTGAGGGCGCAGAGGCACACAAAGTCGCAGAATTCAACGGTTCACGGTTTCGTCTAAGCAGGCGGCAGGATCTTCGCTTCATGGTTTCTGAGTTCGATCCCACCCCAAACCCTGAGGTGCCAGCATCGAACGGGACTGTACTGCATTTTACGCTCCACGAACTTTATAAGTGGGTCTTATCTAAAATTCCTAAGGGCCCCCCTCCGCAGAAATTCCCGTTCTCGTAACCCGTCAAGACCCTCGGAATCTCTGGCCTCCTCTCTTCTCAGTTCACTCTTTTCATAACCTGCTCACGAGAATTGCGTTGCATACTCGCAAGACTTCTCGTTGCAGACCGATGCGTTGACACATCCAAACACTCCTCATTCCAATCCCAACACCTTTTTCCTCGTAAAACGTCTTCTTCGGGTCTCCGCTCACCCAACTCCTTTGCAGCGCTCAACAATTCTATCACAAAACGTTTTAGGCGGTGAGGACGTCATCACAAGCATATCGGGAAAGTTTTGAGTACTCCGCTCCTCTCACCTGGAGGGTCGGGGCCACCTTGTTGTGCAGGCTGAAGCTGAAGAGGCGCGGGTACTGCCGGATGAGCCCTGCGATCTGGGGCGTGCTGAACCCCAGCTCCTGAAGCAACTCCAAGCGAGGCTGCAGCAGGAAGGAAGCGTGATCATGTGCCCATGAAGGGTTTCTTACGGTTTTGAGAGCCTCAGAAGGTTAAGACGGAGCGTCATATGGGCCAGAAGTTTCGAAAAGAGACGTACTGTGGAGCAGAGACAGTCGGAAACGTACAGAATGTCGGGGCAACAATGCTTTCATCTGTTTCAACGATCTTTCGTTCTCCTCTTACCATTCGTGGCACCGAGTGCATTCCAAGCAGGAAACTGGAAAGGGTCTCCTCGTGAGCGCAACTTAACTGCACGATGGAAGTGCGCGCCACTCGAAGCGGGCCACTTATCTCTTTCAACCGCGTGCCCGTTTCACTTTCTATCAAGCGACACAAGCCCAACATCATCGTCGTCACTGGTCAAAAGGGGGGGTGAAGTCTCGAGCCTTCAAAACCCCCCCTCACCTGCAGATGCTTGTCGACGCTGTAGCACAAGATGCCCGGGAAAGCCGTCACGGTGCGCGCAACAGCGCTCTCGTCGAGGCCCACTTGACCAACTAGAAAGAGGAGGCGGTCGAGAAGGGCGGGAACGGGCATGGACAAAACGCGTGCGTCGCCTGAAAAGGACAAAGAAAAAATTGGACCCTGAGTTTTGAGAACGAACTTGATAGTTTGGGGCTCGGAAGCCCGCGAATTATGGCGGCTTGAACAATGAAGGGACAATGGAGGACTCCGTTGTGATTGACATACCTCTTTCGACATTGTTTGGGCCTGAAGAAAAGTTATATTTATTCAGCCGTAGAGGAAGGAACGAAATATGTTTCCTTCTTGCTAGGTTGCACGTTGCACTTGATCCATTTGTGGCGTGCATAAGCTCCGCTTCCTCACATTCTACGTTTCAGCGCAGACCTTTTTCTACACTCACACCAGATTCAAGACTACGAAACAAATCAACAGGAGATAAAAAAGAGACATGGAAAGCATCGGAACGGATAATAAGGGTCTCGGATGAGAGAATCGATTCAATCAAGTCCTTTGACCTCTATTCTGAAGAAGCCATATCCATGAAATTCCGTCTGAAATGAAGTCCACTGTCGCAAGTGTTGCAGTGAGAGGGCGATTACGCCCTTCATACTCACAGTTTGAGAAGGCCTCTGCGGAAAATAAACGTTCACAGCACCCATCAATGTGATGGTTCAAGAATGAGTGCAATAGGTTCTTGGAAGCTCAAACCTTCAGAGAGACAAGATGCTGAATATTTGATGGCTGATTATGGCAAGCAATCGAGAATGCAATTTCCTTGTGTTCCTGCTTTTTGGCAATCCAGACAGTATCAGCAGTCCCAGAGCCTGGAACTTGCCGCTCTCCCAAACTTCACGTAAAGCAGATACAGAGTCCGATCATATTCAGAATAGGACAAAACCCAGGCAAACTGACCCAAAACCGATTCTTTGCAAGCTCCCCCTCACTCTTGACAATGGAGATAATGTCTGCCGTAGAGAAGCTCCAGCCCCTGAGGCACTCAACCGCGGCCGGGTAGCCGAGCGCCTTCGGTCCCAAAACCTCCGGGAACGCCGCCGCAACGTTGCCTACGTTATCCACCCCGATGCTTTCCAGGTACTTGGCGGCAGCGAGGATATCAGAGGGGCTCTGGGAGAGAAGGCGGGGACACCTGAAGAAGGGAAAATTTGAAATTCAATATGACGGTATAACAAAAAGTCTGCACATCTCAGAGCTTGTTTGAGTTGTGAAGAAGAGAAGGGGGATTCAGGAAAAAGCAGTGCTCCAATCACCGGAACTGTAGGGTACTTGAAATTACAAGCAGACCCGCCAGCGCACAGACAGGTTTTTCAAATGCTGGGTGGATTCAACTTTAGAGATGAGTGTCGAGATATGGATGAAACAAAGACATCGACTTCAACGTCCAGTGTTCAAAGCAGATACCCCTGAATCGGCCAAGATCCTGAAGAAGCAGGAAAACACACCCTGCTGAAAGGGAGACTTGAGGGCAATCTGCTCTTCAATTTCAACTCCACTTCTGATTAAGAAACAGATTGGAAACTTGAAGGACCAACTAGGAGGGCAGAAATTAGGGGGTGAGCAAGCACAATAAGTTTTCCACAGCACCCTTCCGCAGTGCATCAATATTGTGACTCCGGACTCCTTTCTATGGTGGTGACCAGATTCGCCACTAATCAAGCAATTCAAGAAAACCCAGAACCTCAATTGGAGCACCACCCCCACCTTAGCTCCATCCTGACAGCAGTCAACAATTCCCAAATCATTGAACAATTCACTGTATTGAACACTTCCCCCACTTTTCCACCATACTGACAGCATCCGCTAATTCCTAAGAATTTCAAAGCTTTAAACAATTCAGTGACAGTAAACACCAGCCCCACCTTTGAATCATACTGACCGCCTGCGCCTGTTCGCACCCCACCCCCCGCAGAGCGGCCATCAGTGCCTGAACCTCGGGCAGCGACTGCTCCCCAACAAACCGGTGGATCGCCCGGTTCAACACAAGGCCCTGCTCGCGCAAATACATTGCCACTCTGAGGTAGCGGGAACTGAGCGAGGGGCTCTGTTGAGCCCCAGACATGTCCCCCTCAGAGTGCCACAAAGAAGCGCCCCCCTGGGAGAAAAGCGCCCCATCTGTATTGCGACCAGATGAACCCGACGCAGATTGTGAAGCTGTGTCTGACCAGCGGACGTTCTCATCTACGGCGGGCCACTTTCTCCCCTCCCCTAGATACATGGCCTGGCGGCGCTGCCCACTTTCTTTCCCCTCTAGTTGTTCACTGGCTACCCCATTTACCACTTCATGTTTCCTGCTGCTCTGTGATTGCTTTGCCGGCCCCCCCGCCTTCTCGAAAGAGGCACCGTAGTAAGGGATAACATCAGCAGACGCCAGTGCCGCGGTGCGCCTCCTCAAACCTCGTCTCGGAGGCTGTCCGCAGCCGGGACAGATTAGAAAGTCTAGGAACGTGGTCCAAAAGGCAGCGGAAGAGGCCATAAAAGAGCCCAGAGAGATGGTCACAAAGTGCAGGATTTGCAGGAACTTTGTGAGAATTGTAAAAGGGCGCGAGACGCGCATGCAATGCTGAGGACGCTGGTAGGGGCGGGATGATTACGACAATTCTGAAGAGCACTCACTTCCAAATAGGAATAGGAAAGAATGAATCTCCTGAGTTCTGGGGTAGGCGCTCTTCAGCTAGCACTAGCAGCTGCCTTCCACCGCCCTGTTGATATCACGAAATCGGAAATATGCGAAGGAGACCGATTGTCAAGACGTGAGCTGTACGCAGCTGTGCAGTGCAAAGTCAGGCCTGCATGTGTGACTTCCTGAGTGCAGCCCATGTTTGACGAGATTGACACTGTTCGAAACTCCCCTACTTCCATAGGTCTTATGCATCCCATGAGGTGGGAAGCTGTGTCAACTTTCATTGTCCAGAGCGCAACGCTCCATTGAAGTTCTCTTCGATCCAGGTGGACCTTGATGAGGAAGACTCTTCCCTAGCCTTAGGGCAGCACTTGCAAAATCTCAAATTTGTGTAGAAACCAGGCGGTGTTACAGGCCGAGGCAGTGGTGGTCCTGTGGTGGTTTCAAAGGTGCACAACTCGTAAGCAGTCCCATCGTTGATGGGGCAGTCAAGGGTGCTGCTGCAGAAATAGTGGCAAAAAGAATTTTCTGGAGACTGCTGACGGGGTTGAGAGCTGATTTAACGGGAGTCATGGGAGGGAACGGCTCCGATGGCCGCTTCAAGAGCGCAATGGACAAGCTTTTGCAGCTCGAGGCGCTGACGTCACGCGCCGCCAGGTATGTTGCTTTTATCCATATGGTGGTCCTTTGCACCTTCATTTACAAATGTGGAAGCAACTTGTTGTTGCGCACCAGGAGTACCCTGCATTGTCAGAGGTTTTGTATGGTTAGTGTGGGGTTTGCAGAGCTGTATTGAGGGAATGTGTTTAGCATTTGGTGATTTTTTTGATGGATTGAGTGTTCGCTTAGACTGCAATGATCACAATTATGGCGCTCCATCTCAACTCTGGAAAAGTATGCATTCCGTTTCTCAACAAGCAACCTGCCCAATTTCGATTTTATCATCTGTTGTTAGACCTTCAATGCCAATTTTGAAGGACTTACACCATCGTGACGCTGTTTGCATTTTATTGACTCGGTTTATTTCAATTGTTACAATCAATATTTATCTATGATGCATCATGCACGGCACTCTTGATGGCTGCCAGTTGGTTTACTTTCTTTGCAAGCTTTGTCGTTGTTTTCTCATCAACAAACTTCTACGCAAACTCCAGCACTGGGAATGAAGAACATTGCTCTCAAGATGTTCCAATGAACTGCATCCATCTTTGGTCCACCATTTCGTGCAACTTATCTGGCAAAGTACAGTCCACCCGTTTCCTCTAGGAAGTATCCCAGCAGCACCGAGACGAGTATTGATTTGTCTGGTGAAGGGTTTATTAACCGTTTTGTAGCTTGAGAAGCGAATAGTCTTCCATCCGTTATCAAGACAAGCTATGTTTCTTGACAGTTCGGCAATCGCCCCTCGTCGAACCCCTGCAAAACCGGGCGCCGGCCGGGACTTCCACTCGGAACAAAGCCTGTCAGCAGGAACCCCAACTTCCTTTGTCCCTGTCTGTCGGCCCTGGGAAAGGGCGGACTTGCTGCGCCGCCTTGCAACTTTCAAGTCTAGTACGTGGTTTGGGAAACCTCCGGTAGGTCAACGAGCACACCCTGACCAGGCAGCAGAAACACAACCCCAATCATGAACGTTTTGTGCTTCAAGGTGTGGGTTGGCATCGCCGTAATGTGCAGGTTGTTGGAATGTTTGCCTGCCAGTGATTACGCCAACCGCACAAACCCTTCTGGACAAGCTGTATCGGTGTTCCCTGGATGCACCTGCTCTTGTTGCACTCACAGCTGTGATAAAGCTGGGCGACGTATGTTTCATTGTTTCCGGGCCCTCCTCAATCCCGATCTGCTAACTTCATGCAGGCTGCCGGCCCTGTGGCCTGTGCTCGGAGGGGATGGGTCAACATCGAGAGCGACCTCCTTGCATGCGAGGGTTGCGGAGCACAGCTGAGTTTTGTAGTCCCTCCGACCTGGTCTCGCCAGCAAGGTGGGTTCCGAACGAGTGCTCCATTTGTTTTTTTGTTTGGTTGTACTTGACAAGGAAGTACTGCTGATTACATGCCTCCCTAAAGATGATTCTTATCTGATTGGCTCACTGCTGCAGTACGAGGAACCGTTTGTCGTTAGCAACCATATACTCGAGCTCTCAGTGACGTTGTAAAGCAACTACGAATTCAGGCTCCGCAAAGGCCTGCTATTTGGACAATCTCGCACTGATTGCTTTCTCTGCTAGAACCATCCCCTCAGAATCATTTTCTGCAGGCAGTTCTGCGGTCACTCAATCGATTACAACCCAGAATTCAGCCTGCCATAATCCTTGCCATCTACAGCAGTCTGACGCTTTCCTCTCTGGCACTACTCAGCAAACAAGGCCGCAGAAGACTTTGCCAAGAAGCTAGAGGCCGCGCACCGGGAGCTGTGCGCATGGCAGGGCAATACGTGCCCTGAGGCGCTCGTGCAGTTTCCGCCCACAACTAGTTCCACCCTCCAGGCTGCCTTCAGCGAGCGGTGCGAGAGGTTGATGGAGCTCCCAGGGCTGCCTGTTGTGGCCAAAGAAGCGCTTGAGACAATGGTAAGCAAATCCCCGCTCCTGACCACACTCCTTTGAAGAACCCCAGATCAGAGATTGAGAATGAGGGCAAACTAAAAGTGCCGCAGGTCGGCTGATCGAGGCTTCGCTCCAACCAGGTAATGCTTTATCTGGCGGAGGACCTGGATTGCTCTTCTTTGTCAAGGCTATCCTTTATGACCACTTAATTTGCACAAGTAAGTGATTCACGCTTGACCTTCGAGATGGACTACCTATCGTTTGCTGCCTTGAAAGTTTCAGTCTGTTGGGCAAGGTTGCCAAGAATATTGAGGTATAATCTAAAATGCTCGCTGATTCTGGACGTTCTGAACAACCAACAGGGAGAACGGCACATCTTTGGTGATAATACGATATTGCAGCGCCTGAGCACTGTTTCGGTGCTTTGTTTGCAGCGGGCATCTCGAGGTCCACAGGTCACGAAGTTGCTGGAGCAAGGGCCCTCTTCCCCACTGAAAGACCTTGAGACGAGCCCAGGTCCGGGGGCGGGTAGCGCTTTGCAGAGCCAATATCTCGAGGTGGGGAGTCGTTATCTTTCTGTTTAAGTATCCGCTCTGATTGAACATGCTACCTGTTTCCGCCAAGTTTGGCCACCTGGCGCCGCCACCTGTCCCTGAAATGATCCGGGTTGGTGCACTTTGACCAGGAACCCGACTTGGACTTCGTGCAATCCGTGTAGCATGTGACTCTGAATGAGGTGCGGGAAGCTTGCTTCAATGTTGAATGCTGCTTTTCGTTCCTTGTTGAGGGGACCCTTCTAACGGTTCTTTACATTCTCTGAAAGCAATTCGTTTCTGCTCTTCGTCACAACTGTGCCTGTAGGACATCCACTTCTCGCCTCCTGTAGGATCTCCTATCATCCACCCTTTTCCGTGCATGCTGATTTGCCTTCGTCTTTCTCTCTGCAGTCCCTACGCCTGATTGCCATTTGTGGCTGGGAGCCCCGTCTACTTCCCGCCAGCATCCTTCCCCCCTTCTCGCACCCCACAACGCCTCCCCTCGGGCTGCTCCCCGCAACCCCCCAAAGCCAAACGCCGTCGCTCACTTCAGTCGTCCTAGACTGCGGTCTCTGTGGAGCGAGCGTCGGGCTGTGGAGCTTCTCGTCAGTAGAGAGGCCTCAAACGGGCCCCGTCTTCAGCCCGGGCCCGGCGGTCGCCGAAATAGACGAGGAGGGGCTGGCGCTGCAGATAGAGGAGCAGCCGACTCGGAGCACAGCACACAGGTAGGTAGTTTTGAGTTAAGTTGGGTCTTGTGGAGTGGCAGGTGAAAGCTTGCGGGCACATCTGCGTTGCAGTCGACACGTTGAGACATCCATAGTGATCCCGGTTGCCCTTCTTTCAACTAGTGGGCATTTAAAAAAGCCACATAAGCAAGAAAAGACGCTCCTTCAAGAAGGCGTTTGCTGCCTTAAAACGTGTCTGACTATCAGGTACTTCGAGGCAATTGCTCCTGATGTTAAAGGCTTTACTTCTTTCATGTTCTGATCGCTTTCTTTCATCCTCCTGGCAGGCCGTCGAAGGAAGAGAAGGAGCAGCCCACTCAGAGCACCGGTCACAACGGGGCTGACAGGCCCGAGCCCGCGCGAGCTGAGAACCCTGGGCGTCCCGTTCGCAGTTTATGGGGCCCCGAGAAGCGCACCCAAGACGAGGCAGACAGCAAGCAGGCGGGTAGCATGCTGGCGCCTAGTGGGCGCAAGGGCAAGGGCTTACCGCCAGCTAGGCAGCAGCCGAAGAGAGAGGGGGGGGCAGGGAAGGGGGAAAAGAACAAGAGCAGGAAGGGCAAAGAAAAGGAGCTCGCGGTTGATGAGAAAGGTCCTGCTACCGGGGGGGCGTCAAAAGTGGAAAGGAAGGGAGCAGACGGAATGGACGCAAAGCGAGCTCAGCAGGTCGGCGCTAATACTGATGAGATTCCTGGCAAGGGGGCTACCGATGTGAAGAAGCCCCGTTCTGGGCTAGTCAAGGCTCCTGTCCCTTCCCCGGGGCCGATTGACATCGTCGACCTCTCGCCGACCCGGCTGCTGCCACTTGGCGCCCCCACACTTGCCGACATGGCGTGGAGCACCATAGCGGGAGGAACCACCGCCGCGGCCCTCGGTGAACAAGTTCCGGAGGAGAGCGGGCCGTTTGGACGGACGCCGCCGAATCCTAAACCAGACTCAAGCAGCAAACCTGAGCAGATTCCGAGCGACGGCGCCATGGGGGGCGACTCGAAAAGTGATGGAAACGACAACCACGGCCAGGGGGGCGGGCGGACAGTGGTTGCGAGCAGCGCTCGACCACCTCGAAGCCCGATCGTAGACTTGAACCTCACAATCGCCGGAGGACCTCCCCCCACCGCTGTCGGCGAGCTTGCGATTCCAGTGTTTGGGCCGGGGGCCATTCTCCAGGCCCCAATCTTTGGCCTGGCAAAGGACCCCCCCGTTCAGGCGGCGAGCTTCGAGTCCCGGGGGGCTCCCGCGCCCCCCCCTGCGGCAATCACTCCAGACAGCCGGCAGAACACTGCGCAAGGGTTCAGCCAGGGGATAAGCCACGACGGGAAATTGTCTCACTTCAGCCCCCAGATTGCGGGGGGCAGCACGGTGACCACCCCCCATAACCGCACGCTCAAGCGCAAACCCGCAGACAGCGCCGAAGGCATGGTTTTGGAAAACGACGGGGGGGACGATGAGATGGAGGTAGAAGGGGGGGGCCGGCCGGCGATTCCCGCGCATCTGATGGTCAGGGGGAGTTCCCGGTTCTCGAGGCCCGCGGATCGGGAGGCGAGGCCTCAGGAGACTGCGGGGGTGGAGAGTGTGAATGTGGACGCTGGGGGGTCAGTGGAGGCGCGGGGGGCGCCAGACGACCGGGCGGCAAGGGAGGCGTCGGTGTCGGGAATGGCGGGTGACCGTGCGGGTGAGTTGGGGTCTCACACGTATTTTGCTCTCCCTTTCTTTTCAAGTCAGGAGGTCTTCTCTCTGAAAGCTGCGCGTAAGGCTCGGATGGGAGGATAAAAACGCGGGTTGCAAATGCGTATGCCGAGTCCACCAACCTTTGTCAGTTCAGATCACCGTGGTGGATTCTGAGACCTTCGTCTGTGCGGCTGACTCGTCGGTCCAGCAATCGCCGAAACTGCTGGCAATCTGGTCCGACAAGCGCCACATGACTGACGACTTACTCAGGTGCGGCAGCATCTGTTCGTTTTCAGCAGCTTGATCTGATCGGCCCCGGTGCCGTGCAAAAACGTCGATCTCAGCAGCTCTCACGTTGTCCTGCCCAGGTTCGGTGGACACCCGGTACCGGCGCCCCGCCAGTCGTGAAGTGGAGGGCGAGCCGTCCGTTGACGTCATGGACAGCGCAGGTGGGACGTCAGCGGCGGTGGTCGAGGAAGTCGAGGAGGTCATGGGGGCGCCTCGGGCCGCCAAGAGACGGCGCATCGCTGACGGGCCGTGGAGGGGGGGGCAGGTGGGATCTCGGAAGAGTAAACCCGTGTGGTTCGACTACTCATAATGTGCTGAAAGATAGACTGAGGGTCGGGGCTGGTCACAGACCTGCCTGTCAGTTTCAAGTGCTGCGTGAGGAGGGCTTGGAATCTGTCGACAAAAGTTGGCGCTTGTCTGGTTCTCTGATTCCTTTGACTTTTTGTTCTTCGCGAAACTCTCATCTTTCATGTCATCACATACATAGGGCCACTTTGTCGTCGAGGCAGTCTGGGGAGACTCCTGACTCATGGAACGTATCCCAAACGTAATGCAATTGCTGTTTGTGGACACACAATCTTTTGCCGCTGCAGGTGGGCCGCTTGGCTGCGGAGGGCAGTCCCGGCGAGGGCGACTTCCCTCGCACCTCGTCTGTGAACGCGACCGCAACCAACCACGACGAGCAACCGGAAACGAGCACCGAGAGCGTCCGCAACATGCCGCGCGCGGACAGCCAAGAAGCGGTCCGAGAGGAAGACGAGCGCGCACCCAACGACGACGAAGCGACAACCCAACCCCCCCCGATTTTGAATTTGGACGTCTCCCCTGGCGGGGGGCAGGAAATGCAGCAAATCGCGGCCCCCCAGCCGGCGCGCAGCGCGAGCGACCAGGTCGGGAGGTTCGGGTTTGGGAACGGGTTTCTGAACGCTGACCCCGGGTTTGGGTTCCAGGGTTTCGGGGCATTGCCAGAGGAAGGGGTGGTGAGCACGGGGCCGGGGGTTGCGATTAGTGCGGGAATGGGGGAGGGGGAAAGTGAAGAAAGGGGCGCGATGGGAAGCGAGGGGCTTGGTGCGGGGGGTTCAACAGGAAAGGATGCACCGCCCAGTTTGGAACCGAGTCTAGGGGGAAGTACGAGGGCCGGGTACGGAAGACTAGGCTCGATTGGTCCGGGGGTTGCTCATAGCTTTGCCGGAGAGGCGGGGTATGACACAGAGGAAGCGACGGCGGTGGGCGTGGCGCGGCCCTGGAGCGGTGTGAACACGCCCCGGGGGAGGGGCCCACAGGAGCCGCAGCTGGAGCAGTCGATTATTCACACCCCGGTGAGGGGGCTCATTGTGGGGGGGAACATGAGCAGCGGGTCAGAGGGGAGCAAGAAAGAGAGCCGGGGGTTTGCACTGGATAATGACACGCCTCGCACGGCCGGGGGGGGTGGAAGGACGTTTACAAACGGCACCGCAGAGGCCGAAGTCCGGGGAGGGGACGAGGAGGAACTCGCTGACGCAGAGGGGGGGATGGCCCCCCAGGACATTGCACCCCCTGTTTTTGTGGAGCCGCATGTGCCGACCCCCCCAGGCCCGTCTCTCCGCCTGCCGTCCCTGGTTGCTTCTCCTGGGGGGCTGACGCACCCTGCTGAATTTGACCCCCTGCGGCAGCACCGGCACTTTTGTCCGTGGGTGAATGCTCACCCGGGGGGCAGGACGACGGATGCGGTGCCAACGGGGTGGCAACGGTGCCTGGAAGCGGTAACGGCTGATCGGGCGGAGGCGCGGCCGGCGATCTCAAGCAGGCAGGATAACGAGAGCAGCGGGAGCTTTGCGCGGGTGGGTGTGGTTGCAAAGCATTTGTGGGGGCAACTTAATTCGTTCGAAGTTAGAACGAACCCACCGGCAGGAGAAGCTGCTCACATTGAAAGTATCACATAAGGTCCATTCCTCAGCTGCCCGGTTCGCTGGGAAGCAATGGGACATTTTTCTAATTCGATTTACAGCTGGGAGGGGCTGACTAGAGTCTGACGTCTGTGCAGGTGGACTACGGCACTTCAGCGGCCAGCCTCCTGCGAGCAGCTTTGACAAGGCGCCCGAGCCTTGACGAGTCACGGATGTAAAACCGAGAAGGCACTTCAGTCTTGCGATAAAGTCGAGCACACGATTGCACGGTGTCTCTAAGGATGCATAATGAAGCAAGAGAGGAAAAGTCTCCATAGCGTTTGCGCTCATCACTACGTCGTTTCACCACAACCCTCAAACATTTCTGCCTTGTCAGGCTACGTGGCAGTCCCGATAAAGTTCCTGTATACCTGTTTGACGCAGACAGTGTCCTGCTGAGTCACTGACTGTCGTTTGTCGTTCAAAGATTGCCCCCTCATTGGGTAGACGCAGAAACATACTGTTGCAGAATCATACTGCAGAGCTTGGCTTTCCGGCCAGTCTTTATGGCCAATCCCAGAGTAAAACCCATCAGCCATCTTTTGGCGATGATAGACATCAAGATTTGCAGCTTATTGGTGCTGACATTTATTAGTGCGATCTGGGCATGCATGCCCGGTGGCGTGCCAGCTTCTTCTCCGAGCACTTCTAGGCTATGCATGGGCATGATTGGGTCTGCAGTTGATTCGTCTGATCATGATTCCAAGCCGTGATATGTGCGCTGATACTTACGAATTCTTGGTACATAGGTAGGTCACATGCATGATCAGTTGCCTCAGCCTGACACTGCATTTCGAGTGTCTCGATCCTAGCGACAGCTGGCCATCGTCTCTGCATGTGCTGGTTGCATCACGCAATGATTCATCATTATTCATAACCGACTACACAAGCCTGCTATATAGCTCGCGCTACATACAGAGCGTGCGTGTACGCAGAGGTGGCACTCAGTACCTACAAAGCACATGCGTGCTGCAGTACAATAAGCGGCACCGTGCACCAGGATGTTGACCGAATTTACTCCCGGTATTCTCCGGCAATCTTAGCAGAAGCACCATGGTTGCAACGGTTGACCGTAGACTCATCGAGATGTTTGCGACTTGAATCGACAATTATCAATAAGCCTTGGTTGGGCCGACACTAGCTCCGTAAGAAGAGAGGACATAGTAAACGATTGACAAACCCCTATACACTTAAACCATGACCGACCTGAGAGCTTCCAGACTTTCTTGTCGCCCGCTATCGTTGACGGAGGATATCTTGCCGCATGCTCAACGGTCTGGAGTACTTTGGTTGCTGGACGTGATGCACGATCAGCCCTAACAAAGAGCCCAGGACGCCAAGTACCATCGCGATCATCAAAAAGGCCCGCTGGACGATCGTCTCGTCGTGTCCCTGCAGGCATGCGAGGATTGGGGTGACGCGCTAGCTTGCCTGCGCTTCCATTATATCCTTCATTTTCATTTGAAAAATCAATGAAAGAGTCTGACATCGAGTCTGCTAAACTTCCCCCGTTCAGGCCGTTGTTGCCCAGGTATCTGGGGCGTAAAATGCACTTTCTTTGTGAATGACGTGTGCTGATAATGTCTCGACGGTCTGAAACTTCAGATGTCTCGGCAGACTTCAGGGGCTTGACCAACTGTGATAGCTGTCCAGAATAAATCGCTTTAGACAGTCTACAAAAGATGGTTTGGAAGCTGCATAAGTTTCCAACCTCTGGACAACTTCCAAGCAGAGTTTCAAACTTACCTTGATCTCGTCGCTGTTGGTGTGCCTCGACGACTTTTTGGGTGCCACTGCTAAGATGATCACCACAACGACCAAGAGCAGAAGCCCTGCCGCGCACCCTTGCCTGAAATGGGAGGAGGCAGAGGTCAACTGGCAAAGACTCAAGGTGACATGTTTCTCCTTAGCAGCTTTGCAAAAAGTGGCTGATCCTGGCCCACCCCTGGTGCAGCAAAGGTACTGTCTGAGGGACTGCTCAACGATTCTAGCTAAGAGGAGTGGATAGACTTTATTCAGTAGAAGTTTGTCCACTTTTTAGCGATTAAAATGAGTGGGGTCTGCACCTCAGAGGTGCGATTACAAAGGTGTCGTGTGCTGGTACACCGAAAACTGCCAGCCAATGGCATTATTTGCACTTTCAGAGTTGGCGTTAATGATTCTTCGGAATCCGAGTGGAGGCTCAAAAGTAGCTCGTTTCAACAATGACCACCACCACCACCATCAAAACTTGGCCCTAGGTTTTCAAAATATTTTCCTGTAGCAGCTACTGAACTTGCCTCGGATAGCAAGATTTGCAAAAGAAGTTGGAAGACGAGGGTCACAGCCTCACCCTCCCATCTCTAGCCTTTCTCCAATGAACCACATTGCAAACGCCAGCACAACAAACGCTGCTATGACCAGGACTCCTACCCCCATGCCTGCTACTCTTGCACTGCTTGTCTGGGAGCTAACAACAGCTGACGATGTCTGCAGAAGGGAACGCCCAGCAGCCCTGCCAACACCGAGAAAGTCCATTGGTATAGCTGGTTGGATTGAGCTGTTCTCTTTATATATTCAGACTTCCTCGCCACTCTGATTTTGTGACGTTTGCTGAGTTGCAGTCTTGACTTCCTTTTCAGCTTCTGACAGCTATTCTCGTGGGAGGACAGACTCATCTATTCCAGCAGCATCTCTAGAGCTTGATTCAACCAAAACGAATCACGTCGGCATTGCGACCGGTCTGTGCATCTCACGTGAGAGAAACTATTGGTCTCGCTAGTGGAAGCAAGCTGACGGCAGGGGGCCGCAGCAGACTGATGTGCAAGGATATATGATTGTGACAGAGCTTGCAAGGGTCTGCACGCAATTCACCAAATGAGAAAGTCAATAAGGCTGATTGCTTGCGTCTCAAATCTTTGGCGGCCATGGGGCGGCAGACTCACTGCATGGGGGGCCTGTATTATGTATAGACTAGGCAGACATTCAGTCCGAATATACCCATGCGGACAACACCGCGACGCCGTTCGATGATTTGGAAAGGATCAGCCTGCCGTCCGATGAGCGCCACATTGGAGCAGTAAATCAAGAAGCAGTTTTTCGCAAGCTTTCGTAGGACACATGTTGTGTGCCTTCCATCTTGTGATCCTTTTGACATCCAACCATGGTCATGTCGGCTGAATGGCTGAAGCTTCACTTGGAACTTCAGCTAGAAATTTTCTTACGCCAGTAGCAAGTTCCTCTGACCATGATCAAATGCGCAGGTGCTGGACTTGCCGGCAATCTCATGAGGAAGCATTCTGACATTCTTGAATTCTGAATTACAGTATAGGTAGACTTTGTTCTGAGAATGCTGGACTGGTTGAGTCGATACGGATACACCGGATTTTATGGTCCAAAATGCACGGGTCCCTAAGCGACTGCCTTCTTTTGGGTGCACATTGACGGGACTTCCCAGGGGCTGATAGCTAGGAGGCTGGCGGTGCAAAACCTTGTGGGCTTCGTGTCAGCATACTAAGACAGCCCTTGTATTCCTCCTCAGCAGCAATCTTTCTCACAGGATTGAATGATTGCTCCCTAGTCAGGTATGTAGTGTCACAAACGAAAGTAGAGACCACTTTCGAAAGCAGCACTTTGCGACAACCCATCATATATAGACCCTTTTGGAGAGGCTGCCATAGATTCTGAGTAAAGTGTTTTACTTTGAGGCAAGATGCCGCCCAAAAAGCCTTCCTCTCCCAAGAAGGATGGAGGCAAAAAGAAGGGCAAGAAGGAGGAGGGCCTGGAAGAGAACAAGGACCCCAACTCGGAAGCAGCTGGGGCGTCGGTTGAGGAGCTTCTCAATCGGATCTCAGCGCTCGAGTTGGAGAAGAACAAAGAGGAGGAGTACCGAAACTACATGCAGCTTGAACGCGTAAGTCGCGCTCTTGCTTTGCTGGATGTTGCAAACGAATCTAGCGTTCGGGCATGTTGTAATTCGGTCACGTCAGCATTGCTTAGGCGGAGTGAATGCAAGATATGTCAGCATTACGCAAGCCATTGCGGCATGTTTTTGCTCAGCTTATCAAAGCACTTAAGCTGGAATAAATGAGTAGCTCGTGACTTTCTGGAGCGAGTAGCGGCATTGTGAGCTCAACAGATCAGACCCTTGAATTCGGCCTGCACCTTTTTAAGTCGGGCAGATCAGAGCTACTTTTCATCAGATCTCAGCAAGCATCTTAGCCGACTCGTCAAGGACAAAACAGACTGTCAGATCCTGTGATCATGATGAGCAAAGGAACTGATCGTGCGACCTCAAGAGCTCATGCAACCATCCACAACATTTGCTAGCTCAGCTCTAGCTGGAGCATTCAGCGAATTCACGCGGTCAAAAGTACTTTCCGTGGAAGCATCCCCCGTTTGAGTGGGACGATACCCCGACGGCACTTTAATTGCCGTGCAACAAAGTACCACAGATTGTGATCAGCCCTATGCCTCTTGAACGAAGGATCGAGGCCATCCGCTGTAGCGCAATTGCCTGATCGTCTATTCTTTCTCCTTTTCAATACGAGAGTAGGAGACGTCAAACCAGACCTAAGATGAGCGCCAAAGAGCGGTCCTGAGAGAAGAAAGTAAAGGAGGTGAAACCACTTACAGATCACAAATTCATCTTGGCCTAGTCTTGTGCTTTCGAAGACACTCACAAATTACCTCAATCAAACGAACTGCTCAGAACGAAGAGGCACCTATTTCAGAGCTGGGCGTTCTGAACTTTTGTGCATTTTTCCTTCTCAATATGCAGAACAAGATTGCGTCCTTTTGGGAGATCTTCAAGAAGGAGCTGGAGGACAAGCATACTACAAACCGATTTGAGGGCTCGAAAGTTTCAAGATCTTGTGCATTTTCCCTTTTCGTTTTGCAGGACAAGATTGCGTCCTTTTGGGAGATCTCGAAGAAGGAGCTGGAAGATCGGCGCGCGGAGCTGCGCAACAAGGACCGCGAGATGGAAGAAATGGAGGAGCGGCATGCGGTAGAGATCAAGGTGTATAAGCAGAAGGTGAAGCATTTGCTATACGAGCACCAGAACAACGTGGCGGGCCTCAAGGCCGACGGCGAGGCGGCGCTGAAGCTGGCGGGGGATGCGGCGCAGAAACGGGAGAACGATCTGATGTAAGTAGACATGTCTTGCATGCATGAGTATTCGGTGTTCTGGATGCTTGGATATGCTGTGACCTTTTTAAGCTTATTGTGGCCGGTGGGTAGAAGACGTCGGCCTCAAGGCGTGAACGACACAGCACCAAAAAGTGGTGATTTTTCTGCAAGATTCTGAAGCCCACATGTCACATAGATATAAGAAACCAAGGAAGGGCAACTCTTTCGAACAGACTGGGCCACTTCGCGCAGGAGGCAACCGCTTCAAAGCAGGGCGCGTGAACGATCCTCAAAGGGCTCCTAAATACCAGGGGCTTGATGACTTGTTCCCGTAAGAGATGCGCAGAGGGGACCGTTGGGCGGCTGACAAGCACTTCGTGGAACACCCAGTCAAAGACACCGTCTGAGCTCTTTCAGATAGAATATGCGCACATCAGACCGCTGGCTGGTTGAACGAGCGAGTACTTGAAAAAGCCAGTTGAAATACACCGTCCAAGTGCTTTGAGTCCATTACGAGCTTTTCGTCACGAACGACGGAGATTTGAAGCGCACCGTGCGCTTACACATTGCAAACAAGACGCCTGCGAGATGAGTGAACGAAGCGTCTCAAAGAAGAAGTTTCGGCTCTCCAAGACGAGTACGGTGTATGAGCTTTTCGTGACTCACAACTACGATCCGAAGCCCCAGCGCACCCGCAACCGTGCACGCAGGACGCGCGGGCTCTGAAGCAGGAAACGGAGGGAATGAGACGAGCCGTTCAAAAACACAATCGGGGCTCTTCCAAAATGAGACGAACTTTCCGACACGCACGACCTGGTTCTGAATCCTACGGCGCACCCTACACAATAAAACCCTTCAATCGATGTTCTTTTGAGTCTGTTGATACCTTAAAACCTGATCCCGTGCAGGCACGACGCGCGCGCGCTGAAGCAGGAGATGAAGGAGGCGGAGCTGTCGCACGAGGACATTGTGCGGCAGCTGAAGCTGGAGCACGCCAAGGAGACGACCAAGCTGCGGCAGGAGTTCGAGACGAGCGCCAAGGAGCTGCAGCAAAAGTACGAGAAGAAGGTGAGCAAAAAACCAATTTGAATTTTCAGTGTGTACGTTCCTCTGGGCCGAGCCAAGGTCTATGAGTCCCGATACGGAAGAATGAACTCCGGGTTTTATGCGTTTGCCAAAGGAGCTTGAGACGAGCGCCTGGCAGCTGCAACGAAAACGCGAGAAGAAGGTGGGCTCGGAACGTGGCGAAATGACCATTTGGGCCTCCATCTAGAGTTTGTGTATCAAACGAGCGGTGAATCTCGGTCCGCCATTCTGTTATAAGGGAAGATGACGGTGGGAGCGGAAGCTTGCTTTCTTATGGTCGCTTGCAGAAACATCCAGACACATTGGGTTGAGGCAGTTCGCAAAGGTGGTGTCAACGCTTCTGTCTTGGTGGGAGCTTTGCAAACTGACAAAGGGAGCCGATCAAGGAGAAAAGAAACGGCCGAGAAACTTGCTCACAAGAGACCACAACAAAAAGCAAACGGGCAGAAGATTGGCAATGGAATCACACACTGAGAAAGAAGCTCAAGCAGAACCTGAAGTATAGAGAGATCAGAAGTCAAACGGCTTGTTAAGCGCGATCCTGCCTCCGGGTCTTGATACGTGAAGCCGAAGGCACGCGAGCGAGAGCTCACCCGCGCACTTTTCCTGCCCCGCAGATCAAGATTCTGCGCGAGGACTTGGATCTGAAGCGCAAGCAGGAGATTCACGAAATTGAGGAGCGCAAGAACGTGCACATCAACGAGCTGATGAAGAAGCACGAAAAGGCGTTCGCGGAGATCAAGAACTACTACATCGACATCACGCACAACAACCTGGACCTCATCAAGACGCTCAAGGTGGGCCGAGTATGATTGTTTTGTCGTTCTTCCGTTTCAAAGGGCGTCGTTATTCAATTTTGCAGTGTTTCAAGGGGGCCAGCGATTGAAGACATCCGGATATTGAAGCCTCAGTGGAGGTGTTCTTCTGAGATGAAAACACAAAGGACTTACGCACCCTTTCAGTAGTGTTCGGTAGTTCATTGGTCCAATAGTAACAATGATCAGTTTTAGAAGAGGAATTGACGCTTACGCTGATGTTGGCTTGGCAAGTGTCAGTGGGGACTGAAGTCCGTATGTCGAGCCAGCGGGCGGAAGGAAAGTTGACGAAAAAGCGAGTCGTGCGAGCGTCTCAGAACTTACGATGACAATAAGAAGCCGCTCTGATCTGCTCTTTCCCTGCAGGAGGACGTGGCGCACATGAAGAAGCAGGCGAGCAACGAGCGCTGACGTAACGAGATTGCGCAAGGAAAGAAAGACACTCCTTTTGGCTTGTTGATTGGCTTCCAAGAACCTCATCCGACTTTCGTGCTTACAGCACGTTAGGTTCGCCATTCGCCAACTTAAGTTCTCTTTCTGGGGGATCCCCCTGCAGGAGGACGTTGCTGACATGAAGAAGAAGGAGGCGAGCAACGAGCGGCTGATGTACGAGATCGCGCAGGAGAACAAGCGGCTGAGCGAGCCGCTGACGAAAGCGCTCAAGGAGGTCGAGACGCTGCGGAAACAGCTGGCTAGCTACGAGAAGGTGCGCCATCCAATGGAAAGACAGAAATATTCATTTACAATAAAAGTTCCTCGATCTCGCGAGCTCGAGCCCCGTCTCAAACTTGAATGTCTCGGGTTTGAAGGTCAGTTGTCAGCGGCGGACTCTTTGTGGTGAGATAACCGACCAACGTGTGATGAGAATCTACTTTTGTGGAGAATGTCACGAAGCTAAGCTAAACAGCTGAATATCTGTACGACAGTGACGCCGTTCGACAAGAGAGAACTCGAAAGTTCCAGGTTCCCCGATCTCTCTGCTTTCAATCTGCTTACAAGTTGTATCCGTATGCAAACCAGCTTTTTGCTCCTAATCCGTGCCACATTACGGGCGCACAGTAGCTTATCTATTTGGAACAGATTCTAAATTTGAACGGCTCCTTCTTCCTCTTCAGGACAAGACGTCGCTGCAGCAGGCAAAGGCACGGCTGGTGGACACGGAGAAGAAGCTGAAGAACCTGGAGTGGGAGCAGGAGATCCTCGAGCAAAAGTTCGGACAGGTAAGAGGACACCGCCCGCCTTAAAGATGTTCCAACAGGGCCTTCTATTCAGGTTTCGGGTTGCCGGGATTCAAGTGATGGCTTGCTGAATAGGTCGGGGGATGTGAGCGGAAGATCGATTTGAAAGTTTGGCAACAGGACAAAACCAGATCTGTGTCAAAACTTCGGAACACGGTGTATCATGTTTCACAAGAACCAATGGACGCTTTCTGTTGGATAGCGCTTCAAGCAGCTTCCAGGGACTGGAGTCAACACAGTTCTTTCCTCTTCCACTCAAGCTCTGTTTACTTAGTCCACCTCCAGAAGCCGCTTCCATGAGAACGAGTGGTTAGCAATGCAAGGGACAGATACTTAAGCCCGTTTATCCTGGCGCAGGTGTCATCCGAGCGCGACGATCTGTACACCCGCTTCGAGTCGTCCATTCACGACGTGCAGCAGCGGAGCGGGCTCAAGGCGCTGCTGCTAGAAAAGAAGGTCCAGGTGAGGGCCTCGAACGCCTTTATTACTGCGAGGGCTCAGAGTTAAAAACAATCAACAGTTCAGAGTCACTGGGTTAGATTTTGATCCAACAACTTCACGAGTTATTTTCTACTGATGCGGGATGCGATCGAAAGGCGCTGCTGCTAGAAGAGAAGGTCCAGGTGAGGGCCGCAAAACCCTCGACTTTGAAACGTCCCACCGACTATCCGGGCCCTTGAATGGCTGGAAATGGAATTTGATTGAGCAGTTCAGGACCGATAAGTTGGGTTAGGTCAGGTGATGTGAGGTTGGGCTCAACTGGCAGGGTTGACTCCGGTAACGGCGGACGAAAACTTTACGTGGTACGCTGTAAGGATGCAGTTGACCGATCGGAAGGCTCAGCTTGTTCATATCGCCGCTCTGATTGAAGGGCCGAAATCGTGACGAAATGCTCACGGGTTTGCATTATGAGGACGGATGGACAGAACGTTCAAGACAGGCTTCAGGCTGAGGCTTGGAATCATCTTTCTGAAGTTGCAAGGTCCACTCGTTTTTCGTGCCTTTTTCCAGGTTCAAAAGAGTTTGAACCACTATCAGTGGCAAATCGGCGCAGCCCACTTTCCACCCACTTGAACGTTTTGGTGTCGCCTCCAGGTTTTGTCCGAGACCCTGGAGAAGAAGGAGGCGCAGCTAGGGGAGGTGCTGACGGCGTCGAACCTGGACCCCGGGACGCTGGAAGACGTCACCAACAAGCTGGATGACGTGCTTGAGTCCAAAAACCAGCTCATCAAGGCGCTGCAATACGACCTCGCCAAGGTGTCTAAGGTGGGCGCCTCACGAGTCAATCGTACCCATTCCGTAAAACATTTCGCATTCAGATTGTATGCTCACGTACACTGCCGGTGTCTACATCGTTTGCGTTTGTGTTTGACTCTTCCTTGATGGCCCTTGAAAATGTAGGTCTGGTACATGGCATGGAAGATTTGTTCAGGAACTTTCTCGGAGTCAATCAAGTTGGCCTACACAAATTCGGCGAGTGCCTCGGGCGATTGGACAAGCAGCACAGAAGCCTGCCTCTTGTGAACGAAGTTTGCATCTCGAAAGTCGGGCAATCACTTAAGTTTTCCACCACTTTCATAGAGGGAACAACAACCCGCAACGGGAGTGTAAGAGCATTTGGGAGACCTGTAGGCTTCCCTGCTTTGCGTCAAGATCGAGGATAACTTGGAGACACTAATGCAGGATAAGCCTATCTTTTTGGAAATCTCAATCAGAAAAGAGGTTTCGCGGAATTCATAGGACGTAGTCCATGTTGCTGCGACTGAGCCAATCCTTTGTCTTCTTGCAGGCTCATAACGACCTGATCAGAGTGTACGAGTCGAAGTTGACTGAGTTTGGCGTCCCAGTGGAAGAGCTAGGCTTCCGACCACTCATTACCAAGACCGGCCCGGGGCCTGCGGATCTGGTGGTGGGAGCCTAAGCGGGTTTTGCGGCCGCCAAGCGGCTGAACCAGGATCTAGAAAGAATCTGGGAAGAGGGCCGGTCTCAAATCGTGGGACTGAATGGCGCGCGCTTCGGCGCATGTCTAGCGTAAAGGATGCGGGTCACTCAGTCTAGAAAGGATCTACATCTTTCGCAACACAGACGTCGCGGTTGAATGACAGCCCGGTTCGAAGTGGCAGCGCGCGTTTTGAAAGTGGTGAAAGTTCCTGCAACATTTGTTTAGACCGGCAAATTGCATTGTAGACGTCGAAGACCATGGCGCTGGACGGCAAAGGTCGAGCGGGTGGCGCACTGAATTGCTTAACGTGTAAGCTTACGGGTATGATCCGCTAAGGTCCAAATGGCCATGCAGGCAGTTGGAGCTAACGCATATATACCATTCCGCGTCACGCCAGCGCCTCCATATCTTCAAGGTCAGTGAATTGGAGTGGGCATGAATGTCGTGACGTCATGACGACTTGATTTGAGCACAATTATGCAGGATACATGCATGCATGATAAGGCACGTGTCTTAGCTCAACTCATATGCCGCACTATATAAGCTACCCGCGGTATTCTTAAACAGTGATTCTGCAAAAATGCAGCTACATGTATCCAGGCATCTTTGGAATGACCCTCGCCAAAATTACAAACAGCTGTTTGTCGTTACATGTCACGCTGGCACGTATACGTCTGTCTCTTGTACCAACCGCAGTGGTATCAATCAGCTCGTGAGTTCTGTCTATCCGCTAGATACATGGAAAAGGTGCGATTGTAACACGTACATAGGCCGATTCTTCGAATCTCTTAATTGGGCTTGTACTGTAAGCACGTCATTGGCAACGTACCGCAATAAAGGTCGCCGCAGATTCGCGAGGCGAAAAGGAACCGTCCGCGCTGGAAAAGCGGCTCTCTACAGTAGCTGTCCACGTTAATATGCATATGCTGTTCTATGTTTTGAAGAAACCGAAGTGTCATGGTTCGTAGAGTTTCCCGGTATTCTAGTTACAGCACAGAGCACCGACGTCAAAGCCGCATCAAGTCCCTACATCTTTCGTAGGAGCTCTCGCTAGCCTTATGATTCACGTAAGTTGCCTAGATACTCGTGGCTGTAGTTCAAAAGTAGCGATCCTGCCCGGACCGATCCGCCGTGCTCATCTCTTGAATCTAGACATAAGCCCCTGGATATTGGAGAACAACTGCAGCGGAAGAGAAAGAGGTGCTGTAAGCAATCAAGCGAGGGCGTCGCTTTCCACGACAGTAGAGTGCCGGACGGACCGCAAAGAGCTTTCAAAGAGCGTACTCGCAAAGTGACTGGGCTGCAACATAAGAATGTGGTCGCAGAACGTGATCCAGAGGTAAACACCTCGACATCCAACTTGAATTCGGCAGCTGGACACCAATGGTTGCACACAACGGATGACCAAAAGACTTTAGCGCCATCTGAAGCTCACACAAGCGTCTATCCTAAGACCAAGCTTTTTGACTCCCAGCGCGGGCATACTTTCAAAAAATGGCGTGAGTTTACAAGGGATAATCCAAGACCATGCAAAGCTTTCCTTCGGTGTTGGAAACATTTGCTCGGAAGATAAAAACGGCGGCGTGATCGGGGACAAGTTTTTCCGACTTGAAGAAGTTTGGGACGAGTAGGACACAAAGTGTAGCTCATGAGTCCGGGGAGCACAAAAAAGCGGAACAGAAGGGACCGGGAGCAGCACGGAAACGGAGACGAGAAGTGAAAAAGCGACGGGCTCAGCCACCTACCGCAAATTGCCAGCTCTTTTCGTAAGGCTGGAACTCAGGAACCGGTGGCGCGGCCCCAATAGCGTATCTGCAACCGAATCGTCGTATTAAAGGGTCAGTCTTTCAAGATACTCGAGTATGGAGATTCTCAATAAGATGGGATTTGTAGCAAAAGACTCTGAGAACGGTTGGCCTGGATGAAGCCCGACCCGAGCTTCTGCGCATATGCGCTTCAGCCACTCAGTGATTCGGACGATGTTAGTGATGGGTTAGTCTTCGCTCTCTCGCTTCCAGTTGGACACACTCTTAGGGATTTCCTTTTGCATACACGTGGAAAGATTCAACGGCGTTCGAAGAAAAGGGAGCCAGTTGAGTACTGGCAACTCCCTTGTTCCCTAAGGGGCTTGTCTACTAAGATTCAGAAGAACCGCACTTAAACCAAAAACCCTAACCAGAAAACTTACGCGCTCCGCACCCCTACCCAGCCTAACCACCAAAACAACCCTACCCGTCCCCCGGGGTTTAGACAAGCCCCTTGCGAGACAAGAGAGTTGCCACAATGCCAGTTGAGCGTCTGCAGGTGAGATGGAAGGCAGATACTGAAAGTCAAGAAAAAGGCGGGGCGAAGAACTCACAGGATGCCGAACAACGCGCCGAGACCCCCGGTATTACCCGTTCTGCAGATGCGAGGGCGCGTCAGAGAAAGATGGCTGCTGAAACGCTTTGTGCTTGACGGGATGTGAGAGTTGGTGAGCTTTAGGGGTCAAGCTTTGAGCAGGAGAACCAGAGACTGCGGCGGTGTACCAAACAGTGAAGACGTGATATTCGATGGCCCCTGAGTAGCTTATTTGGACCAGAACGCACGAAATCATGAAAATGTTAAGATGTCATCAACATTCTTCTCTTACAAAAATGAAGCGCTGAAGCTAGAGCAGAACTCGGGACACACGGAACTACGTAGCTCGTTTCTTTCTCTCATCCCGTTGAGAATCAAAATATATTCGCCCGCGTTGTGACCACTGGTGATTCTCATTCCACGTCAAATCTGGCTCCATCTTCGGCGACATATTGGCAGGTCCGCCACTGCCGTGGTCGCTCTCTACATTCAGCTGCCACCGTTCCCTGACAACTCGGCGACCTTTCAGACTCAAAACTCGAAAATTGTATTTACCTGCTTTCAGCGGGACAGGGCGTACCTAGCCGGAGGACAAAAATGCTTCCACCACAGGAGGAGCAAAATCAATCAATCTGCTTTTCAAGCCAGAAGCTGGGGGGAGAACGTCTGCTGAATCTTAGCTCTTGATGATTCGGGAATGTGAGCGTTAAGCGAGCCTGCTTACCGTCTATCAACAACGTAACCCGCGGTTAGTCTGGTGGCCTTGCCTTCATTGTTGAAGGTGATCGATGAGACTTCTGGCGGGGATTCGACGCGCTGCAAAGATGAGGTTTCTATGCGTTCGGCTATGATTGCTTGGGGAGGAAGGTAGCGAGCCGACGAACAACATGAGGCGTTTGGCCTTTTGAAAGCGCAGAGAATTTGAGGAGTGAATTACCTGAAGGGTTAGTTTGACAAATACTACAGAGACGCTGCCTCCCGTCTGCCAAAATAAAGACAAAGCAGACCCTTAAAGCTGGTAATCTGCAGAATGTGCACCCAGAGGAGAGCAGATTACTGGATGCGTTCGTACGTCTTTTGCAGACTCTCATTAACCAGCGCAACCCTCAATCTACAAGAAGCAGAAACTCAGTTGAAGACATGAGGGTGGAAAATCGAAACTCGAACAAATATCACTGGTGCAAGGGTAAGTCCGTGGATAGCAAAATCGTGAGTGCCATCGCAAGAGCAGCCTTTCACTAGCATAGGCCGCATTTCCATCTATCCCAGAGGAAGACCCATGTGACTCGTGTTTAAACATACCGTGAAAGTTGGCGGGGTAGGGGAGCCGAAATTCAGGACCCCCGTGTGTGTTGCGCGCGAGCGCGTAAAGAACCACACTCGATTGGGCTCGTATGGATCGACCGAGAAGCCAAATGCGTTCGGCTCCAAATCTACAGGAAGAAAGGGGGAAAGAATTGTCAATGTTTCCAAGAGTGGAAACCGAGAGCAGTCACGATTGCAAAGCACAAGAGCTCTCAAACCGAGAGCAGTCCGGTTGCAAAGCACAACAGCTCTCAAAGAAAAGAAAGTGTAAACCAACAAACTTAGCAGGACATCAGAAAGAGGGAGGGAGCTTATCATCAGAACATAAGCGGCACGGGCGACACGCGTCGCTTTCCTTTGCTGCAGAGCACAATCTGTGACGGGATTCAAACGTGTTTCATCACAATCTTTCAGGACAGTTCCCTTGCTTTGCAAATATTCTCCAGTATGAGTGAACTAGCAGTCTTCGAGTTAGACGATGTTCCTGAGTCAAAGTGGAGGTGGCTGAAAGTGCGCACCAGGGAAGGCGTCCTTGACACTGAACCGGCCCAGTGCTTGAAGAAACTCATTCTTCTGTAGGTAGATGATGGGCGCCGCAAAGTAAAAGCCGTCGGCCAAAAGGGAAGGGTCGTCCAAGCCCTGCATACAGAGGGGATGCTTCCTGTGGGAAACATGCATATGCAAGAGGCAAAACAGCTTACTTCGTCCATTCCCTAAGCAAGCAAGCCATCCTCGTTACTTTGATTCAAGTTTTGCTTCCCGTTCCCTTGGCGTCTTGATTTGTCACCTTTAGAAGCGTCCCTATGCATCACCCGCCTGAGCCCTTTTGGGATGGAAACGTAAGGGATAATGGGAGGAAGAAACTAAGCCGAGCTTGTTATCTGTCACTCTACACTCACGTTATTTGCGTTGAGCACTTTCTTGGCTAGCTCGATCAATTGCTCCTCAGGAAGGGTGGACGGCTTTTCCTCGAGCTTTGTGCTCACAGCCTTCTTTGTGGCCACCCCCGCTGTGCTCTGGGCACGGACACATGGGCCGTGACGGGCAGGGGCTGTTGGTGGTTTAGAAAGTGGGTTGAAAGAATGCTGCAAGAAGAAGGGAGACGAGGCGTTGAAATTTTTTTCTTTGGTGAATGCATGACGCACCATAAGCGGACAGCAGAAGCAGCTGTACCAAGACCCAAAAGTTCAGCTGATGCAAGGGTCGCTGTCTCGGTGTCAACACTCTCCGACCGCCTGATTAAGCATGGGGGTCTTCAGAGTATATGTAGACTGGTGAATCTTGTCTCGGAAGTGGCAGCCAAAACTGAGGAAAGTAGGTGCAGTGGTGCCATAGCCTTCAGGCAATGTGATGACCGTGCAGGAGTATGCGACCTTGAAGAACTTTCAAGAAATAGACTATGATCGTCTAGGCGCAGAAACTGCTTTGAAGCAAGCTGGCAGATTGGATGTCGTAGCAACCAGGTGTCAAGCAGACAAATGCAAGTTTTAGATATAAAATGTTGCATCAGTGACACGCTACAATGGATTGGTATGGAAACTTGCAGGGCTCTGACTCAGAAAGGGGCTGTAAGAAGTCATCTGATTACCAGCAGCTGCTTGCGTCTGTAACATTGCTGGCCCAATCCAACCACGGGGGCTGCTGCATTGAGGAAGCCTTGCGCCCTCTTTTCTGTTCGCCGCGTTAATCCACTGAGTAGGCAGCTGCTATTTGAAAGAATGGCCGTCGCAGAAGCCATCGTACAAGCAATGTTCACGCTAATCGGTTCTTGGACAGCAACGACGTTGGTACGCACCAGTTCTGGGTAGGAGATCAGCAAAGTCTTCAGCACAGAGTCAGAACGCGCTGCGCAATCAATGTTCCTCTGCAATCCGACCTCTGCAACGCCAGTTTTGGAGAGATGTTTGATTGAGCAGGTAGGTTTGAATGCAGCAAGCTTGAAGCCCTGTGTGCAGCAGGGGATCCCCATGGCTAGGTAGGGGCTCAAACTGGACCACGTGGCCGAATTTGCAGCGCTCGCATGGCAAGCACGACGACGTGGCCGCTTCGGAAGGCGTTGAATACTGAAGCGTTGACTTTCGCCTGGCCGGAAATTTTATTGCCCTAAAAGAAATGATTTCAAACCCAGCAAGACTCGAAAGGAACTGATCAAGAGCATCCGGATCACAGGGAACAGAGGAGATCAGGGGTTCCGCTTTCATTGCCTTCAGAAGGTTGTGTCTAGCTGGTCAGCAAGCTGTGGCTAGCTGAACGATGCTCAAACTAGCTGCATTGAGTTTAGTCTTCTAGATTGCTTTTTATGTTTTCAACGACGTTGGCACAATGGCTGACGCAGGTTGCTTAACCAAGCAGACCACAGTTCCTTTCAGTTTAGGAGGTGATCTCCATCATTTAAAAAGCACTAGAGACTGCTCATCCAATGCGGCTGCATTGCTTGGCAAACGGCAGATTCGACTACAACGCACCTTTACTTATAGCAGGCAACAGTTTCAGGTACTGCTGTTTCACATATATTGGTGGTGCTTGAAATTTCAGAGAGCTCACTGGTTGGGCGTCACTCTCGGCCCTCAGCTGCTCTAGTTGGCAAGATGCAGAGTGAAGGAGATCCAACCACGCTCTGTTGCTGACTCCCCCATCCTTCTGAACCATAATTCCGTATGAATGTTAGAAAGTGACGTTTTGAGGCCTCAGCCACAGAATGAAGAGCCTGCTCCTTCAGATTGCGAGAGTATCAACTCCTTTTCCCGACCACTCTGCTCTGGTGACTACGGATTACTTGCCACATCGCCCGAAATTATGTTGATTGTACGGTTGCGAAGCAGGCCTGCGTCAAATGCAGACCGCGGTCGGAAACCGTTCGTCAAGAACGGCATATCTCTTCAATGTCAGTCCTTCTGATCCTGACGCTGTATCACTATTCTTGCAGGGAGTCCTGCCCGCTTTGACACAGCGTAAATGCAAAGGATTGCAACTCCAGGCTGTAGCGAGTACTGATCAAGAGACGAATTCCAAACCGGCGGTGCAAGATCCAAAGACTCTGAAGGAGAAAAGGAAGTATCTGCACTATACACAGCCGTGGTTCTCAAGAGAGACAGTCCTCAGGAAAGAAGCGGACGGCATTTGGACGCTCACGCAGCCGTTCCAATTGGGCTTCGGACGCTTTGCAGATGCAAGTAAGCAATAATAGATGCTAAAGGCTGTGAACTCGCAGCTGATGCCAGGTGCTTATGTCACCTCAGGCTTTTCTCGCTTTCTTTCATAAAGGGACTCGGCCCCTCTCTTCAGAGCATCATCCGAGCATTCTCTGGAGAACCAATTCTTTCTCACAATGAGACTGGTTGCTTCGTAATTCTGCCATGCGAAGAATGGTTCCTTTCAAGCTTCAGCCTACTTCTGTAGCTCGTTTCTGTCTCCCATAAAGCAATTATAGTACTTCTCAAGGAGGAATACTAAATTACTTTGAAAGTGGGCGCAGCCTGTCGAGAGGCGCGAGAAGGTTCAATTTGAACGAGGAGGGCGAATCTGGTGCAGGCACCCTCTGTCGACACAAAGTGGCTCTGGATCTCCTGGGTTTCATAGGGATGTTTCTCCCCTCTTTGAAAAGGCTGTTGCGCGCGAGTAGTGCCCTTTTCATATCATACTGAATAGAGTATTGCGTTTGCAGGGTTAAGGGCGACAGTTGTGCAGTTGGAGGATGGAACCCTGTGGGTGCACAGTCCCGTAGGTAAGCTCTCGTTCTTCCTTGTCTGTATCTCTGACTTGAGTCTTGCTTGCAATATAATTTTTAGGCAGAGGGTCGGAGAACATGGCCTTCCTGCCAACCCTTGCAAGCCCCCCTAAGTATATTTTCTCAGGGGACCGGCGGTCGTTTACAACAACACAATAGTCTGAACTGTTGATCTGGAGGGATTGTAGCTGAGGGGGCCATCACAAACTAGCAAGAACAGACTCGGTCACAGCCTGCTGACAATACCGTTGGCGGATGGCTCTGCGCGAGTTAAACAGAAGGTAACGCTGCCTAGGTACACGGAATATGATCAGGCACCACCACTGATAGTGTGATTGCCTAAATTCCCTTTTCTATTGTTAAGACAATATCATTGCATCGGGCACGGTGTATTCATGGAGAAAGTCTGACCTGAATCTGATGAGCGCTTCCGGAAGACTTCCACAGACCACATGGGAGTTGAGTCAACAAAATCCATACGTTGTCTTCCTTTTGAAAAGTGGCCTGTAATACGTACTTCCAAAACCTGTCCACGTTTGCGAACCTCTGAACTTTTCCTTCTCTCAACCCTGACAGCCCTCACGGAAGAATGTGCGGAACTGGTAACATCTCTTGGCGGCCAAGTTGCTCACATAGTCGTCCCGAACACGTCCCCCGAGCATGCCTGGTTCAGCAAAGGCTGGGCCGACCGGTTCCCGGACGCCCGGTGGTACGCTCCCGTCCGCATCGTCCAAAAACTGAGCCAAAGACTGGGGCGGCAAGTTCACGGGTTGGAAAAGAGTCAGGTGAGAATCTGCAATGTCAAAAGCTCTCCGAACTCGCTTCCTTCGAAGCATAGAATGAATTCCCGCCGGCTCAACAAGTGCGAACAGCCTGTTTGAAACGCCAATGCGTGCAATCAAATTCAATCCAGGAGTCGATATCTGAGCCGTTTCGAACTTGATATCAAAAACGGGAGCGGCGTCAAGGGCTTGGGTAGATAAGACGATTGTCTGCCCCTTGAGTCTTTGCGTGAGACTAACAGAGTGTCACTGTGAAAGACTCCTCGTTCTATCAAGGGGCGTCGATGCAGAAGAGCGACCTCTGAGCTTTTCGGGTCTGACATACACAAAACGGGGCCTGTTGAACCCTCAAGGAGATCTTCCAGAAGCAGTCTTGAAGCTTCAAATTTGCGATTCGCAAGGGGTGAATTGGGGATAGGCTGGCTAGTATAATTCTCCTGAAGGCCCTTAGTTTCAAAAGAAGTTGGGCCTTCTATTCACCACATTATGAATCAAAGAGAGACTGCTGCGAGTTTTCGGCGAGACCAGAACGTGGGCAGAAGCTTTAAGAGCGAAGACGTTTCGAGACCCCAATCTTGTGAAGTCCTGATATTTTGCGAGACGTCTATACCCTTCGAGATACCTTCACCTTGGACATCCGTTCTACAGGCCTAAATATTGAGTGTAAAGTTCAAGAGCACTTGCTTCTGCAAAGCAGAGATCTTTCCAGACCCAAATTGAGCTTAACCGACGTTGCTAATCCTCCCCCAGGCACCCCCGGCCCGGGCGAGCGTCCTTCAGGCGGTAACGTTCAGCACCGGGGCCAACGACGAGTTTCAAAAGGACTTAAGAGATTGCCGCGAAACCTCGTTAAGCTTGACCAACCTCGCTAACCCTCCTTCAGGTACCCCCAGCCTGGGCGAGCGTCCTCCAGGCGGTAACGTTCAGCACTGGCGCTAACGGTGAATTTCAAGAGGACCTCTTCTTCCATACACGGGAGAAGGCCTTAATCGTGGCGGATATGCTGGTGTGTCTAGACGACGAGCAACTGCCGACCGGGATCAACAAGTTCATGGCACAGGTGGGCGGAGAGAGACTCGCTGACAGAGTTACTCTTTGTGTCAGTGTCAAGTGAACTCGCGCTGCTGCAGGGATCCTCAAAAGTCAGATCTAATGTCTCGACGCTTTTAGTAGAGTCGTCGTTCGCCGCGGGATTTCTACCCGGCCCCACGGATCCGCTTGATCTTCCTTCTTTCGAGTGGCATTCGTAAGGCTGGCGGTGATCGTCAGCGGCTGGCTTGTAGAGAGGTTCAGATTGCCTTCAAGAGTGTTTCAGCGAATCAGTGCTTGGAATCTACAACCTCTTTCGCGTGGCTTAAAAGTGGGACTTTTCCCCCCCTCTGGAACAGTAGCTGAGGTGTTCTTCCGGTGTATAACGGATAGCGGAAGGGTAGAAGCGAACGTTGCACAAAGCAACTGACGACATTGGGTGAAGGTGTGGCATTAGCCGCGCCTCTTCATGTTTCGCCCTCGATGTCGCCGCTCTTGTTGTGTTCTTCCACTGCTACTTCTACAACTTTAGCTTGTCCGGAGCCGTTCTTCTCGGGTATCAATGCTGACGTCACATCTTACGTTTCGCAGAGTTTGGGCGTGCGCAAAGAGCTTGGCATGCTAATCCCATTCAGACTGTACCTGGGCAAGTATCCGGAGGCTGCAAAGGTTCGCTATCTGACCTCTTGCTGCGTTGTCCCTTCTGTTTGCTTGCTTGCAACGTCCCACGGGTACAGCAAAAGGAGCTTTTGTTCGAATCCTTGATCGAGGCCATTCGCAAATGACCGCTAATCCCTATTTCTGGGGAGCAATCCCTGTATGTGGCATCTTTCCGTGGTTATCGTTCCGGCGGTTTAGGGGTGCGAGTAGTATTTAGTGCTCTGGTTTTGAGTTGTCAAATGATTGATTGGCGCTTGAGGAACTGTTTGAATCTTCGTAAGGAGTTTGGTTACGTGTAACCCTCTGGTGTCCCCCTTGCAGGCGTTCTGCAATGCTCTTTCCAAGCTGGACTTCTCATGGATCATTTTCAGCCACGGAAGCATTCCCGTGAGGGCAGGCAAGGACGATATCATGCGAGTGTACAACACTTACTTATAGAAAGAGACGTTACAAGCAGACGCCTTGCCATATAAGTAAGCTTATTAGCATGGAGGCAAAACCAACTGACTGTACATAGTTGCAATTCAAATAGGCACTCACAGGACATTTATTGCCAAACACTTCAGGTACAAGCATGCAAAGCTCAAGGTAGAGTGCATGCTTGAAATAGAACTCTTCATGCTAGACATTGGCCTATGTGTTGCACGGCAGTGAGCATTTCAAGGACCCGTTCAAAATCCCTCAAAAAACGATTTGCAGGAGTATATATGGCTTCCGAAGATAAAGCTAAGGAGACTTAGTGAGATTCTGCAATCAGCCACTGAGTGGCTCATATGCCACGCGTGCAAGTGCAAAAATCGAACGCACGTGCCAACTTCAGGCACCAATACCTTGCCCAGATGGAAATGCACGAGAGTCGGAACTGTGGTTTCACTGACGTTGCGAGGTATGTTATTGAAAGCAACTTGTAAAAAACTCGCACATGATGGTAAAAACTAACCCATTATAGTATAATCGATTCTATCACAGTAAGTGCCCTCTAACATCTCTGGAAACGCATTAGGCTCGTTGAACGAGCCTAATGCGTTTCCATCTGGGCAAGGTGATTCGTTAATGCGCTAATGCGCTACGGTCATGCGACCTGAGTTGTGACACAGGTTACAGCTATATGTTTGATCGAGGAGAACATGCTAGGATGACACTTTGAGTTGGTCGAATTGCAATGTTTTGGGTGACTCTAATTCAAAGCAACAAAGAGCATTGCAAGCTACAAATACATCACGTGGCCACGGCCATGAGGCCACGTTGCAGCCGCGCCATGACTTTGATCCTCTAATTAGCGGGCACGGTAAGCGGCTCAGCTTCGTCGAGCTCGCTTGTCTCAGTTTCTCGATTTGAGCTGCTGAAGTGTTGGCTTGCGTCATGTTCCTCAAGCTCTCTTTAGGCCGATATCGGCTTGCAGATTACGAGTGATATTCAGAAGGCTAACATGAGAACAAGTCATGCATGGCCCGGAGGGATCCCCTGGCCCGGGGCCTTGCTATCGTCAAAGAGATTTTGACGTTGCGCCGTTCGATGAGACCTGCGCGCGCACGTGATTGTTTGTGGCAGCGGGCCGAGACTCGCCGACTCGTGTGACTCACATCCCGTGCAGCCCGAAGCCCACCTAGATCCTAGCCAGCAGAAACTCAGTGCAAGAGCTCTGCCCATTTGCTTACCGTCCAGCGTAAGTAGATGGAAGAAGTCCGGCCAAATCCTCGGTATTCCAGTTCCGCTCAGTCTTTCAGTCTCTGAACCTACTGAATGACTGCTGCAGCTGTGAGGATTGAAAACGCTCAAGGGACCTGCTGTTCAGAGCAGCAAGTTTCATCTGTTGGGTCTCTGCTGCAGCTTGGACAGAGTTCAGCCACTAAGACTTGCATGAAGCAGATAGAAACAAGATTACCACCGGGAGCTGCGTCCGATGCGCGACTTTCTTACAGAGAGCTCTTCAAGCTAGTTGGACAACAGGTGCAACGCTCTTTGCAGCTGAGAGCTTCAACATATCAGTATTGTGAACGGCTGAAATCCTGACTCATTTATCCAGAAGATTCTGCAAGGGTGCAATCTGGTCACTAATCAGAAGCCTCCGTCATGACGGCCCGCTATCAGAAGCAGATCGCCGTCCCTGATGGCTTCCCCATCCTGTTGAAGGACTTTGCCAGAGAGGTCCTGCGACAGCAACCGGAGAACATCTACACCTTTGGAGCTCAGCATTTTCAGAGGCTTCATGCGCAACAACAGGTACGCATACGCGCGACCGCTATTTGGAGAGCTCAAGAAGGCTCCAACTCCGTAGCTCATATATCTGGGGATGGGCCTTGAGTTCAGCTCAGGGCGTTGCATGACTCCTGCTTGTTCAAAATTGTTATTTCTTTGAGTTGTAATCAGGTCAGCATCCAGGGTAGCGCTGACTTGCATTAGAAGATCTGGTTGGCAACATGAGTGGGCAGGTGGCAAATCAAACAAATGCAACAGCTAAATCTTGTCAATGTGGGCATATGAGCAGGGACAAATTTTCCTTTTAGGACGAGAGTTCTTTGGTTTTCTCAGGACACAGCGCTTATTTCTTGCTGAAACCTGCTGCAAAATGGCAGGTGCACCTAACGACTACTCTGCACCTGTTTGTACCACTTGACGCATGCATTACCGATCTCATGAAAAACGCTGCCCTCCGTGACTTTCAATACCAGCTTCAATGATGCCCAGAGGCAAGCTACGCATGTCCATCTACATCGATGGAGGGGCCTCAAGTTGGATCAACTGATTGATCCATCAACATGTCCATCAACAAGTAAAATGAGAGGCACACGGTGTGCACACCAAGACTTTAGAAACTTGATGCCCGGTGCACAATGATCGTCCGCAGGCCGGCGCCACACAGAGTTCGGACGCTGCTGCAGCGGCCAGCAACGGACGCCCGGATGTATCGTGGTTGTCCGCATCCGAGCTGGAAGACCTCATTTTATCGCACTTCCTGAAAGCGGACAGTGACCGCAACGGCTATCTAGACCCCAGGGAGTTTGCTGCGGTGAGAACGGTTCCTTATGAAACTCCTCCACTAAACTCAACGCTGTTGATGATAAAGCAGTGTTACGACTGTGATTGAGGACGGATGCCTGCGGATTTGAGTGCTCGCTCATCGCAAAGGGCGCATGCAGAAGTGGAAGGTGGGACAAAGGAGGACTAGTGCCAGCTCTTGGGCTGTTATGCTACAAATGAAGAGCAAATGAGAAGTATGATCATAGTGGTTAGCAACCTTCGCAAAGACTCGTGATGTGCCCAAACAAGCCTTAGGTCAACTCTTTATCTTTACTGCAAAGCTGCGGTGCCTTTGAGACAGGCACAGAGGAGGCGCACAGAAACGTCTTCCAAGCTGTTCTGCCATTTTGAGTCTCTTGTCTAAGACTGCGACCTCATACCACATTTACAACCAATAGCAAAGTCTTGAATGAATCATACGTCCTGGACTTTGCTTATAGGCGATGGAGCAGAGCGGGCTTTTCCGATCGGAGGCGGAGCTCCTGAACGTATTGGCGGAGTGCGACGAGAACGAGGATGGGAACATTCAGTACCGAGAGTTCCTGCCGATCATGGTGCAGGTGGGCAGTCCGTTTAAAGGACCCTCTCTCAAATCTCGATATCAATCTCAAGGGACATAGTCGTTGTCAACACAAGTCGGAGAAGACGTGGGTGGAAATGGAGGTGTCTTGTCTACTTGCTTGAAGCAGGAGAGTGGGAGCCGAAGTAGGTTTGCCATGTGTATGACCTAGCGGGTTGATGTCTATAACAGAGGAAGTGACTTCGCAGACGGGGTTGCGCAGAAGCGAAGTGATTCCGTAGTTTCCCGCGTCAAAATTTTGATACGATTCCTTAGGAATAAACCCTAGACTATCTACAGTATCAAGAAGGGCAAACACAGAAAAGCGTGTGAAAGTTCAATCCTCGAATTGTACATTTTCAGTTACGAAAGGAGCTTGCTTCGTGGTGTTTTGAGGTAGGTAAAGATGCGCTCGTCAGTCTCATTTGGCTGTGTGGCTCGAAGGTTTGGGAATCTCATCACTGGGACTACTGTCTCCCATTCGAACGACCGTTTAAAGAAGCGAGTCTTGTTTCCACTTTTCATTGGATTCAAGAAGAGGCGGAGCCTCAAAAGCGACGAGAGGCAATCCGTCGGTTGACTCTCAGTTGATTAAACCCCGCCTTTCTTCTCACATGTAAGGTTGAAAGGTTGCAACCAATGACTCATCAAGCGTCCGCTGTTCAAAGGGCCCTGTTTTTGCCGCAGGTGATCCACGGCATGCGCGCCAAGGCGCTGCTGGCGGCCAGCCGAAACGCGGACGAGGCCCAGGCGAGGAGCACTGTGCAGACGCAGCTGCTGCACGGAATGCCGCGGGCGGAACTGGAGGCCATGATGCGAGGCGTGTTCCGGGCGGCGGACGTGAACGGAGACCGGCGGCTCGACCGGAAGGAATTCAAGTGAGCAGGGGCGTGAGGCACAAAAGGCGGAAAAGCGACAGGAGGAGGGGCATGGCAAGATGGGGAAACGAGGAACATGAGAGCAGGTTGAGGAAGCAACAGGACGAACTTCAGAACTTGGACCATGTTCCGCGGGAGATCCATGTCAAGCTCTATTTCCCGTCAGCACTTGCTGGCGGGACCTCAGGCGCATCGTTCATGCGAATACAAACTTCGTTGGTTTCATTGAAGCCACAAATGCGCTCCTTCCAAAACCACGGCACAAATTTTTGTGGGCTCTAGCACACGTACCGGAACTTTGGCCGCGTCGTCGTTTGAGTCTCCTCTGACTTCCTTTGAAGGATGCAGACTCGAAGGAGCTTCAAAGCAATCTATTATCGAGTTTTCACTGACTTTCTTACATGGACGAAGACGAGTCCCGATCACCAGAGTTTTGGTAAATGTTATCATTGCTGCGTCTCGCTAATACTGCTTGCTTGCCCCTCAGGAACTGCTTACGTCACGCTGACGTGGGGCTGACCCGGCAGGAGATCAACCTGCTACTGGCCAAGGCGGACCGCAACGGCGACGGCTCCATCTCGTATGAGGAGTTCCTGCCCCTATGCTTCAATATCCTGGTGGAGCGCTTCTCGGACGAGCTCGTACGCGAGAAACAAGCCCGGAGTGCGGACGATATTGAGGTGCTGCTGGTGCAGGTAAAATACGGTGCCTTTCTACTGCCTTTCCTTCAGAGCCTTCAGAGGCATAGGTAAGTACAAACCTGTCTCAAAGGCAACAAGAAAAAGGATTGCTATGCGAGTCCGATCGAGAATCCTGCGGATTTATCCCTGGAATGTTTGTCGAGGTCCCCACGATATCAGACTTGTTCTTCCTCTGTCTCAGGTTGGATTAAGTCGGAGAGTTGTTCAAAGAAGCGAAGAAGCCTCTGTAAGAGAGTGTTGACCTCAAAAGTCGGCGATTAGATCCTCACAAAAACGTGCACCTTTCTGACAGCTGGGCCTTTATCTTGACTACAACTCATTCTCAAGTTGCCCACCAAGGGCATGGCGAGATTGGACAGACAACGGCGCCTCAAAATTACTAAATCTGAAATTAGCTGGCGGCTCGAAACGTTTTGCGTTGTGATGAACTGTTTTCAAACCGCGCACAGGCCTTTGCCGCGGAGGACCGAGAGCGCACCGGTTTGCTCCTCCAGCGCCAGATCAAGGGCGTGCTAACCGACCTGTCCCGAGAGGGGTTAGGCCTAACCCGGATGCAAGTGCTGACGCTGATGAGTGAAGCCGAGCCGGACGAGGAGGGTTACGTTAACTACCGCCGGTTCGCGAGCGGCGCCGCGCACATGATACATTCGCTCGTCGACGTCTCGCACCAGGTGGGTTACGGGGCCCGTTTGAGTATGGTTTTGCGCTTGTAACGATATTTACACAGGCTTTTACACTGTTGGATAGAGGGGGTTTTACCCGTTCTGACCAGCTTCTTTATGCCAGGGGGTTCTCTAGTGTTTTTTGAAGGGTCAATTTCCCAGTGCGTCGAAAGGAGGAAACACGCTCCCTACACCCAGTCAATAACAAATTTCAAACAATAGCGACGAAGGCATGGCTAAGAAGCAAAGGTTGCTCACGGCCCAGAACTGCAATGTTTCACGTTCCCGACCGTTCTGAAGTTTTCGCGAACCTCGAGCGTGGCTCGAACGGATTTTCAATCGCGTTGTCTGACGGAGACCTTCATTGGTCATAGCGGCAGCGGCAGGCGTCTTGGCAGCAAACGTAAAAATCCTTCGCTTCGATCCCAATCTTAGGAATTGGGACCCAGTTCTTGTGGATGTGCGGCACAATAGAACCCGGACTCGTGAGAGTGAAAGCTCTTTCAGTCCACTAAGTAACGGCCGTTCCCGGATCAAGTCACAGCTAAGAGCACCTGACGTCGAACCTTTGGAGTACATTCGTTGCTGTAAAGGCCGCCCATGATAAGAAAATTCTCGAACCCCTGCGTCTTTTAGAGCAGAGCGCGCGGCCGCAGCCGGGACAATGGCGCGGAACGCGGCCGCGTCTCCACGGCACGCAGCCTGAGCCGCGTTTTCCGATCCGACTCCTTTGATAGCAACGAATTATTTTCTAAGGCGCACAGCGGTATTTTGATCCTCATTTCTATCCGAAAGGTCAACAAACCTTGATTGACCTCTGATTGCAAAAGGAAATCTTATGGAAACCCCTAACCCCTCGTCTGGCAGGCGGACCGCGCGGCCGCGATCGAGTCGCTGTCGCGCAGCGCAGGCGTGCAGCAGCTGCGCAACCTGAGCCGCGACGCGGTGCGCGGGATCCTGGAGGAGGCGTTCCGCGCCGCCGACGAACAGGGCGCGGGCGCGCTCGAGCGATCAGAGGTGAGGGGTTTAGGGTTCTGCGCGAGAACACTATAGGAGGACAAGAACTTGCGCAGATTACAAGGAGGAGCTGTGCTGTGCAGGAGATTCATGGCACTCGATGGCACTGGGCACGACCTCATGGAGTTATTCGTGCTGCAAGACCGTTAAAGTGGATTGTTCGTTTGATTTAGGGCTGATACTAGTAAGTTGTAAGAAGTCTCTGCACTTACGTGTGAGGCCCTGTGCTCACCTCTCGGTACGCAGTTCCTAAGCCTGTGTTTGAGGACTGTATTTCGCTTTCGTAGGCAGCTGATCGAGTTGATCTTGCTTGATCCGACCCACAGATCCTCACATCTCCTGGTGATTCGCATTAAGATCTCAAACGTCCAGCCGTACCTTAAAGCAGACTGTATCTATCTATACCGCGGAGCCATCCCACCGATCTTGAACATTTTGTCCTCCAAAGCGCTTCAAAACGCACTACCTCCTTACCCGCAGGTGATCGAGGTCCTCCAAGAGTTGGCGAGCAGTCAGCTAGGGCTGACGCCGCGTGACGTCAACTGCCTAATGGCTGCGCTCGAAGAGAACTCGGAGGGCGCGATCGAATACGAGCAGTTGATTTCGTTCACCTTCGACGTGCTTCAGCATCTGGACAGGGAGGAGTACGTGCAGAGAGTGGCCGCAGAAGCAGGGAAATGAATGAGGCAACGGAGCAGCTTCAACCAAACCAAACCAGACCAAACCAACATTGGGTTTACAAAACGAAGAGTGACAGTCAGAGACTCGGAAGCAGCTACTTGGTCGTCCATTCAAGGCCGTCTAAGATCTTGTCTAACGGCCATTTGTGATACTGTGCGTCGTGTCGTGCAACCTACGAAGTGCGTTAACTGAAATTGGACGTTTGCTTCGTTTGGAACCCCCATTTGGCCTGTTTGAACAGGCGACATGACTGTAGTACCGTTGCGGGCCTCCACCACGATGTTATTACCGTTGAGATAAAAGCTGGCGGACGACATAGTACCGATTAGCATAAGGCCTTGCGTGATTCTTAAAATGCTGAAGACTCTACAGCTTTTCATCTTGAATTCAAGCCTGAGCAAGAACTCCCATCTCCGAATGAATTGGGATCCGACTGATTCACGTGGTCCATATGACCAATTAATAAGAGCTTTTCGAAAAGGTTTTGGCCTATCACCGTTACATTCGAATTAAAACTGAGCTTTTCAAAAGGTCAGCGCCTGAATTGGGGTTTGAAGAGAGATGGCCGGCTACTCAACAGATTGTCCGATGCGCTGGCAAAGGAGCAGCAATGCGTCATCTTTCAGAATGAAACGCTTGCCACTTGGACCGTTCGCGGGCATTGTTGCATCACCTCATAAGACATGGAAATGGAGCTGAGTTAGAGCTATGTGAGTATGAAAACGCGTTCGATACGTGAGAGGCGCCAAATCAAGCTATCTAGCAGGCCCAGACGTTGCCAAGTCGTACCCTGCAGCTTCGGAGAGCGACGTATGAAAAGCAGCCGCGCGACGCGGGCGCGTGGCACTCAGTAGCTCTTATACGAGGCGGCCGCTCTGGCCGCCGCGGCAGACACGCGGAGTCCAAACCTCAAACCCTCTTGGTTTTTGACGTGGCAGTGTCGGATTCACGTGAACTTTTATCGACGGTTTCTGGCCGCCGGGGATATTCGATGCGTCGAATCTGTGCGTTCAATGTCATGACAAACCGGTAGCTAGGTACCTGGTACCGGTGCCCCTGAGTTTGCTGACTTCGACGTTCGAGGTCAGCTCACAAGCTTGCAACTCTGAGCACGAGCCAAGCACGAGCAACTTGTTGAAGCCAGTGCAACTTCAAGCAAGTTGCAAGCCTCACTTCTTTCTCTGCAAAAACAGCTCGGGCTTTTTCTTGTTTTTGGAACGCAAATTGTTTTGCAGGAGACTTACTGGAGCAATGGCTGACCCACGGAATGTCCCCAACCCCTTGCTGCAGCGGGCGGCGACGTATTTGATCGTGCCCACAATCCTGTTTATCCTGCTCTCCCCAGGACTGCTGCTCGAGGTGAGAATGACCAGGTTTGCAGAACTTTATCTTTCATTTCCGGAAGTATTTCCCCAGAAGCTTACTGAAGTGTGCATGCAACGATTGTGCAGTGTTCTGGCTAGTTTTTGAACAATTCCAGGGGTTTTTGCTGAATACAATTGGTGTGTTGGCATTGCTTGTGGAGGAAGTGTGTGCTTCCAAACTACTTGCATGCAGGCAGCTCTGTGCAAGTAGTGTTCTGAACACTTGTTTAAGGGCCTGGTTCTTTTATCTAAGTGAATGAGAAATGTTTCAGGAACGCAAAACATGGAAACCCCTCGTTCAGACGGGCAATTAATGTAGCCCAATCTCGAGAAGAAAACTTTGTTTCGCTTTGTCGCTCCAGTCAGGTGTTCAGCAAACCGTAAAGTTTCTTCTCACATAATTGATGGCAATTGACAGGTGTCTGAGATTTCAATGCATTGTCAATGACAAACTGGGCATTAGTTATGAAAGTTCGAAGTCTTCCTAATTAGCAGCCCTATGTCATTGGAAAAGGATTGTAAGGTTTGCCTTGTTCTCTTTTGACATTTCCGTGTTCTTCTCCCATTTCCAGGTTCTAGAATTGCTTTGACAGAGATGTTATAAGCGATATTTGAGCTCCATACATGCATGTCTGAAGGGTCTCTTCTTTGGAATAGAGCATGGGCAATTGAAGCCTGATTTGTGTTCTGGTGTTCTTCTTTTGGTCCTACATGTTACAATTGGGGGTTTACTTTGGACAATGACTTGGTGAAGGCATGAGCATCAGAATGGACGAATTGGGTTCTCCAATCCTTTATCTTCATTTTCCTTGGTTGGATTGAGAGATGAGGAACTTATGCCAGCGATACGTGCCTGTAAGAGGTGGGTCTTTAGGACTTGACAGATACTTTCTTGAAAAAAAGATGCTCAATTGAGGCCCTCGTCTCGTGAGATACTTGATAATAGTCGGAACTTTAGTTTTCTGCAGAAGACCAACAGAAAAAGCCGTCTTTTTCTGAGATTACAACATCCTGTGAATGCTTCTCAATACTGATCACCGACCAGCTGTCAAAACAAATTCCCCTGAAATGGAAAGTGGCTCAGACTTAACATGTCCTAGAGCTTCTCATCGAATGCTAATCGCAGCTTGTGTTTCTCTACCCAAAAACTACACAACTTCAGACTCTTCATAGCGCGTCAAGTCCTTGCTCCATCCTTCGATGCTTCTCCTTGAAAATCTAGCATTTCCTCCCCGCAGATCCCCGCGCGGCACCACTTCATTGGGCTGACGACCCACCACACCAGCTGGCAGGCGATCCTGGTGCACGCAGTCGTGTTCCTGATCCTCAACTACCTCATCTTCCTTGCATTCCTGTCCGCGGACAGGTGAGGCCAAAGTTCTTTAGAAAGGTCACTTTGGTCATTATCGTCCCTGCAAACAGTGGCAAATTCAGTTCTCATTGCTATTTTCTGCAACGAATCGAAATTGGCGCACTTTGTCGGGCACTGCTCTTATCATTCACAAAGCCCTCCAGGTTGCGTGGTGAAGGAATCTTTTCGGTTTTTTTCAAATGAAGGTTCTCATCAGAGGGGGCTCCCTGAGTTTGTCAGAAGCATTCTTCTTTGCTATCATCAGTGCTTCATATTTCACTCTTCCACCTGCGATACTCTATGTCTCGCAGACTTTTCAAAATAGGGCTGACACTTGCTGAGGCGTCCTTTTCTCTCGCAGTTCAGATTAGGGTTGACAATCAGCTGAGGCGTCTTCTCTGATTGCATCACACCCAGTACTTGTCCACGATTCCTGGTATGGCCGACGATCAACTTTGAAGCCACACACATTCTCCTCATTGAGGCGCTCGTTGTCCGTTCCATCTCGTGACACGTGTCTTTTTACACGCAGGCGCCCCGGCGATGAGAACCGCCCGGTGTTCCACGACCTGTCGGAGTCGACCATGATCAAGGCGCTCAAGTACTCCATCATCCCCACAATCGTGTTCATCATCCTCTCCCCTGGTCAGTGCCCACCTGTCAGTTCCTGTGGTTAGTCTTCTTTTCATCTGTGAATCTTGCGGACTGGAGAACGCAGCCTAAAAGCTGCTTGTACATACTCGGAGTTGACTACGAAGTGCGCCCTGCACTTTTAGACTACAACTTGGTTCCTTATGACCGCTGCTTGATTTCTGTGCCTGTTTACCTTTTTCGGTCAGAACCGTAAAGCTCGTCGTGTTTGAGATTAAAAACTCTTGTGGGCTACTCCCACCATTTCAACGAAGATGAGTTTTGATCATTCATTTCACATAGTTTTCAGTCTCAACCTTTTACCAAACCAATCATGGTCGTCTTCTTGACTTCCGAAATAGCTCGTTTCTGCTTTGAATTGTCTCGACACTCCTTTTCTTCTCGACAGCAGCACGATGGCAGTCTTCTTGCTATCTTCAACCCATGCATCGATCTTGTTCAGTAATCTGTCTGCTGGCAGGACTCGTCAACGGCTGACTGACTTAGGCTGTCTGACTTGACCGTTCCGAGTGTGGCAAAGTAACAACCCTGCTTCGACTTAACTGCAAGGTGACTTGTCGATCAACCTCCACCCCCAATATAATCCGCAATTGCAACCCTTACTAGGCCTGCTGTTGACCATCGGCAGGCAGCACTGCTGGAACAGCTTTGGCACAACTGCCCTCGAGTCGCGCTCAGAGCCATAAAGTAGGCCGCAACTCTGTTGTTCTCCAGGCCTGCTGCTGACGATCCCCGGCGCGCACCACCGCTGGATCGAGTTCACGAGCTTCCACACGAGCGTGGCCGCGGTGTTCGTCCACGCGGCCGTCTTCTACGCCTTGAACTACGCCCTCTTCACCTCGCTCATGGCGCGCGAGAGCGCGCGCGCAGAGACCGAGCCGCTGCTCAGGCCCCGCGTCTAAACAGGTCAGTCTTATCAGCTTTTTGTGTGATCTTACTTAACGAGGAAAGAGAGTCTCCAGAAATTGGAGGTGTGTGTTGCCCCTCCGGCTTAAATTTTCCGAGAGATGCTGAGTCCAAGAACGATTGGCGAGGGACCGGAGTGGCCTTTGAACCTCCGCGCTTACACAGGTAATCTGAAGGCTGCATCACAGATGTTGTGTAACGTTTGTCTTAACATGTGTCGGGTATGAGGGGGCCAAGGAGATTCTGGACGAAAGTTTGTGACGGAACGAGTAGTTTAGGCCGCTCACGAAAGTGCAGATTCAAGCACTTCTCAGTAGAGGCTGTCGCGAACTGAAGTGCAGCGAAACAGCCTACGCGAAGCTTGAACTTGACGGGATGTTGTGCGCTAGAAAGGTTCGTGTCGCAACCGGTTTCGATTTCACATTTGTGAAGAGCTTGGCAACAAAAGGCATTGAAAACTATAGGGGCGCTGAAAGTCTTTCCTGAAACGGCAACTCACATCTCTAAGAATGCTCACAAAATCTCAAGCGCGGTTTGCATTCTGCAGGTGGGCGATTGTCCTTTCTCGTCGCGGGTGGCTAAATGGGTGGGATTTTCGGGGCACAGGCATTTGGCCTTGTCAAGAGCATAGCGAATGCAAGGGGCTTTGAGTGGGCGAAATCTTATGGGATATGCAGTGGGTTCTTGGGTTACGCGTAGAAACAGAATTTTTGAGTGTATACTAGCTTTTGCGTCTATAAATATAAGTGGGAGAGACGGGGTGCCCGGTGCTCTGAACCGGGCACCCTCTGGAGTGTACAGTGAAGCGCAAAATATAATTGCGAATGGCTGGCGGGTATAGACTGACCGAGTCAAATTGATATAGAGGACGGACCGCTTGCAGATCTTCCGAGGATAAACGTTGTGTACGTACGTTTTTGTTCAGGGGGCGTAATGTTGCGCCAGCTTGGTATATGGTAGTCCGTTTTTGACATGGTCCTCTTTGCGAGAGTCTTGCTTTATCGTCTAGCTGTAACTGGAAAATTCTTCAGATTCCTTATATTAATCTATTCCAATGATGCGTCCCTGCACCGAGCTTTATTCTGATGCCCATACATGAGCAGATTGCGCATTTGAAAATACGCGAATATACGAGGGGCGTTACGTTCATAAACGTTGTCCGCATGATGAGTCCGAAATACAGCTTACATA